GCGGGCGCCACCGCGCCACCTGCCGTGTGCGCCCGTCCACTCGGCGGGGTCGCAGCTGCCTCTGGAAGGCACCGAGAGGTACCAAATGGCGCAAATGACCAAAATCAAGATTGTGTAACGCGAGTTCCGGACCATAGTACCGTTTCTTCAATGTATGTGGCTCTTACGTACATTCTCGAGGTTCTCGAGGTGGATATCCTTTGGCCGCGTTGGGTAGCGAGGATTGGTGTGACGCGATCCACGCAGGCGTGTCTTCTGGCGGCCGACCGTCAGTGCACGGAGTTGCCCCTTCTCCGACTGCCCCGGCTAGTTCCCGAGTTTCGCGGGAGTGACCCCATGCGTCAAACCCGAGACCTAGCGCGGGTGGGTTGGAGGGAGCTCGCCCCGTTCCTCCCCATCGGGCCGCGTGAGCGGCCACGCCTCGCAGATTCGTTTTCGCGCCTGGGTCAGGCGCGCGGGGCATCCCCCGGGTCGCTCGACCAGCGATCCGAAGAGTGGCCGCTATGCGAGGGAAAGAGCGGGGCCCTCGACGCCTCAGTCCGGCCCTCCGAGGGGGGAAGGGAAGTGCGGGGTCCCCACGGGCGCCTCAGTTCGGCCCTCCCGAGGGGGGGAGGGGAGCAAGGGGGTGGGGGGATCAGGGCGGTGGGGAGGGGTCTCGGATTTCATGTGGCTAATACTTGCCTTTCTCGGGGAGGGGCCTCAGCCAAGCGCTCATCACAGAAGTGAGAGCTGCCCGACGTCTTCCCCTCCTCCCTCGAGGCAGCGAGTAGGCAGCGAGAGGAGGTCTCGAGCGCCTATATGAAGGTATGTGAGATGGTGATGGGAATGGGTGGTCGGGCGGTCGGGCGGTCGGGCGGGCGGGCGGGCGGGCGGGCGGGCGGGCAAGCGGGGAGAGGCGGGCGGGCGGGGCGGGGCGGGCGGGCGGGGTGATCGGAGAAGTCGTATCCACAATCCGCAGCAGCGGAGCAGCCGCAGCCGCAGCAGCTGCTGCAGCAGCAGGCAGCAGCCTGCCGCAGATTGCTGCCGTTGTCTGCGCCGCGATCCGCCGCCGCGCCGCCGCGCCGCCGCCGCCTGCGCTCGCCGCCGCCTCGTAGACGACTCCTCTCGCGCTCGGAGAGCCGCGCAGCGGGCCGCGAGGTTGTGGTCAGAGAGCAGCAGGGTTGAGATCCACAAAATCGGCCAAATTTGAGGTTGCTCGAGAGAGCCTGGAAATGGTCCCGCGCCGTTGCCCCGGTGCCGGCGCATCACGTCTCAGCCGCGATGGGCCGGTTCCGCCGCGCAGTCGAGCAGCAGGAGCTCGGAGGCAACTTTGTCGACAAACTGGTCGAGCCAAAAATCGGCGAGGAAGCGGCACCGGCGGCACGCCGGGACGAATCCGGACTGATCACATTGTTCGGCACCGCGGCGGCGAGCCGCCGCGAGCCCACAGGAGAGCTGGGCGCCGCGGCACCAGACCGCGCCGCCAGCGAGGCGAGAGCAGCAGCCGACCGGCCGTGACATGGCAGTTAGACGGCGGGATTTTTAGATAGTACCGTTTGTCTTGTTTTGCGTTTCTTCAAACGAATCCTTTAAAGTCTCGACAATCACTCAGCTGCTTATGTGGCACCGCAGAGGCTCCCTTGGGGATGCCTGAGGCCACCCCAACCACTCACCAAGCCTTACGTAGACGAATTGCGCGCTACTTTTTTCGTTTACCCACATTATAGACACCTCACTAGACCCCACATACGGTCTCGTCCGTGCCTTGCGGCCGGCGAGATTGCTAGAGGTGGAGCATGCTGCTCTAGCCTCACATGTCACTTCCTGGCGTCTGTTGTTTGTTGTGCTCTTGTTTGTTTCTCTTGGCACCTTGGAGTGCTGGGGGGGGCGACAGGGAGGATATGGCCTTGAGTTATGTGTACGCCAACTCAGGGTGTGTGGCAGCCAGCTGGCTGTGTGTCTTGTGAGCTTGTTTGTGTCTGTGTGTCGTTCGTGCGTGTCGTCATCATCTGTCTCGCGTCCACCCATACCGCGTTGGTGTCCAGTCCGAGCCTGGCTGTTCTTCACCTTTCTACCTACCTACCTACATTATGCGAGTACAGGATCGAGGTGTGCACACCGCTGCACTCGTGCTTTTGTGTTTTAGTTTTAAATTTAAAGCCGTAATGCCGTGGGGCTCACCTCTGTCGGTTCGTACACGTGGAGACGCGAGGGTCGTTTTGTGCAACTGACAACGAACCGGGGATGAGCGCGATTTCCGGCCCCCGCAACAGGGCATGCACAACGGTCAACGCCGCTCCGCTCCGCGCGCACCTCCAAGGTGAGCGCTGAAGGCTCGCACGGAGCGGGCCGACGAGGCGGCACACACGCGGGCTCCTGCTCGTTACTTTGGCTTGCCGATATGCATCCAAAGTTCCACGCTAGCTCCTCCCTCGTCACGTCTATCTTTTTAATGTATGTGGCTCTTACGTACATTCCCGGAGGAGGACTGCTGACAGGGTTTGCGATGAGGAGTGACCCGATTTTTTTAGTGTATGTGGCTCTTACGTACATTCCCGGAGGAGGACTGCTGACAGGGTTTTTGCAGTATCTCGCAAATGCCGTCCGGGCTTGCTGGGGTGTTATTGCGTTCGATCCGCCTTCGTCCCCGCCTTGTATCCCATCTCCTTGCGGTGGCTCCTGTATGAGTCCCCATATGACCATGTGATTTCTTGGCCTTCCTTGACTCCTCTCTCTGCAAACAGGACCATCACCTGCGCAGCTGCCTTGCCTAATTGTACCTCCTCGTAGCGTACGAAGTGCGTCGCCCTCGTGCCACGATTCGGCTCATTCGATGCTGCAGGCCAATCGAAGTTACAGCGCGCCGCGACGCTGTCAAAGTCGTCCTCGCTCTCGTCGTCACTTCCATCCAGCTGCGTCCCCCCTGCTGCCGTGTGTCGTGACAGTTCGTCTGGTACTGTCTCTGGTGGCTGCGCCGTTCCTGTCCGGAAGATCTCCCCAGTGTAGATGCTACACACCTCGAATTTTTCCAGCCTCCTCGTCGCCAGTAGGCCTAGTTCCCCTTCCGCTATGCTAGAGGGGCCTACCTTCGCCCCTACCACCGTGCCGCCCGTCGTTAGCATGGCCGTCGTTACTTTCGCCGCCGCCTCTGCTGCTTGTCGGCGGAGCGCCTCGCGCCTTCCCTCGTCTCCATGCTCCTGGTCTTGTTCTCTTTGTTTTCCTGCGCTTCCTGTCGCTGGGCCGGCGACGTATCCTGCCGTCTGCGTCCGCGTCCTGGCGGGCCGCTTTTCCTTCCCCTCGTCCCGTCTGTGCAGCGTTCCCGGGTCCTCACTGGCTTGCCGGGGTCATGCCTCCCCCCCCCTCTAGCGCCGCCGGAGGCGGCGTAGCTTCCGAGAAGCTCGGTCAGACACACGGGAGGTGAGAGACGGACACCACATCATTACGAATCAACGAATGACGCAAAAATACGTCACGGAGAGCGTGTAGAATGGCTACTCGAGTATATTTCGCCGAGAGCGCGAACATACCCGAAGGTGAACTGCTGACGGGGTTTGATGAGGGGCGGTTCCGACAGGGGCGTCTCGTGGTATAAACCACACTGGGCACTGGACCGCCTGCGCGTACACGTGGAGACGCGAGGGTCGTTTTGTGCAACTGACAACGAACCGGGGATGAGCGCGATTTCCGGCCCCGCAACAGGGCATGCACAGCGCCGCTCCGCTCCGCGCGCACCTCCAAGGTGAGCGCTGAAGGCTCGCACAGAGCGGGTCTGTGCATTCATGCTCATCTGCGCGCGTGCGTCGCATCATTCAGAAGGCCATCCAGCCTCCGTCCACCATCAGGTTGTGCCCGGTCTGGTACGAGCCCGCCTCGTCGCTCGCCAGCCAGCACACCGCGCTCGCAACATCGGCGGGCGTGCCGAGCCGCTTGCACGGCGTCCTGTCGTACGAGTACTGGGACACCGGACGCGCCGCCTCCTTCACGATCTTACCCGGCGCGACGCCGTTGCACGCGATCAGCTGCTCGGCGTAGTCGACGGCGATCTGCTTGGTCATGTAGACGGCGGCGGCCTTGGAGGTGCCGTATGCGAGGTTGCCCGGGCACGCCACCATGCCGTGCTGCGAGGTGATGTTGATCAGCTTGCCGCGCAAGCCCGTCTGTGCGCGCGGCTCTTGCCGCAGGAACTGCTCGACGGCAACCTGCGCGCCGACCCGCGCGCGCCCCACCCCGGCCGGGACGTACAATACTTTCTTTTTCCGCATTAAAATAAACTGGCACAAACGGGGCACAAACGGGGCACAAACGGGGCACAAAGGCAAGGCTACAACACGGGAGGCACGTACAGTGGGTGCGGGCATTAAGAAAACAGGACTCCGCGGCACGCCGCCGTTTCTAAGCCTTTCCACAGCCCTCATGCACCCCACGCCGTGGTTTCTTAGCTCCGGCCGGCACGAAGCTTGAGTTTTAGGTAAGAGGTAAGCTGCGGTCCGCGAGGGCGATGCCAGAGTCTGCCGCCGAGTCGGCTCTCTGTCTGGATGACGGGAAGACGCACACACGCCTCCACCCACTCCACTCAGAACACCGCAGACATGGAAAGTGACAAGTGCGCGCCGCAGGCGAAGAGAAATTTTGAGCTGGGCCTCCCGTTCACACTCGAGCCTCGTGTCTGGCCTTTTCTCGGGGCCGCGCCTGCGGCTCGCCGTGGTTTCTTAGATTTTTGCGGAAATCGCTGGCGGTGGTGAGGGGGGTGGTGGCAAGGGCAGTGGCGGCGATGGCATTGGCGGGGAGGGTGGTGGAGGAGAGGGATGCGGATATGGCGGCGGCGACGAGGGCGGTGGCGTAAAGGGCGGCGGTGGTGCTGGGGGTGGCGGGGAGGGCGGCGGCGGGCGTGGAGGTGCGCCTGCAGATGGTGCAGGCGGCACTGGCGGCTCAACATCATAGTCATTCGCAGGCGGCACTGGGGGCTGCACATCATAGTCATACGGGTATGCGGGGAGGGAGGGCGGCGGTGGATTTGGGGGTGGATAGTTTGGCTTCGAGCCCATGGAGCCCATATCTTTGGAGCCCACGAGCCCACGCCGTCCACCTTGGGCGTCGGCGGGTTTCACAATGCAGTTGGCCGTGACGGCCCGGATCTCGTTGTCGGCCAGGAGGTCGTCGATCGCCGCGTCGCTCGCATGGACTGCGATCGCCTCGACCGATAGCTCTTGAGCGATCTCTGCGCCGACCGACAGAGCTTTGGCTCGTAGCGCGGGGGACGGGAGCGCGGTTGGCGAGAGCACTACCAGAAAGCCGTCATGGCCGTCGTGGCACTCTTGGATGGACTCTTGGAGGCGGCGGCGGCGGCGGGAGGCGCCGGGATTAATGGGGATCGCCGCGGTGAGCGAGAGCACGGCGGCGAGTGCGTCCATCGGGTGACATGACAGTGGACCACCGCGTCGCGGTCGCGTTAACGTTTGTCGTTTCGCCCGACGCCCGTCCCTTCACAGCCTTGTTATTGAGAATTTTACAACAAAACTCCCTCGCACAACACTGGGCACGGGACTGGCGCGCACTGGCACTAACACAGGTACTGACGTACACCACGGGAGCCGCCTAAGCGACTCCTGCGAGGGCGGCGAGGCACTTAGCTCCGTGCACCCGCCCGCCCCCGTTCGTTAGTTATTGAGAAGAAAATACCTCCTATGGCTGTGCGCTGGTCTGTGAGAGGTTGACTGCGGACAGTTCTCCCGCGTCGTCACGCAGCAGTGGAATGGCCCGCTCGCGTTGGACGCGCTCATGCCGTGGCGGTTGGCGCCACCGCGACTGCAAGGGTTGCAGTGCTTCTCCATACGAGCCGGCTGCCCGAGCAGTACGTGCCAGATGTGCTCAAAGGCGGAGCCCGCCCAGTTGAGGCCAAAGTTGGCCCGCTTGTCGAGCTGAGTCGCCTTCTCTGCGCTGGCGCCGTCAAAGGTGAGGGCCACCTCGCTGCCCACCTCGTACAGCTGCCGTGGGTTCCTGCGCAGTGCGCGGCGCGACGCGAGGAACTGCGCGCAACAATCGAACGACACGGTCCTGATGCCCTTTGGCGACCTCGGCAGGTGCGGCGTCTCCTCAAACGGGAAGCCGGTGCCCCACTGGTTCCAGAGCTCCGTGTATCCCGGCTGCCAGTCTTCGTAGTGCAGGGAACGGTCTGTGACGTAGATGGTCGGCACGATCGGCAGGAAGTCGGCGGCGGCGTCCACAGTCCATTCTCGAGGCTCCTCGCGCCACAGGCAATCCGACACGCGGTTCAGCAGGGAAGGGTCGCCGTGCGGCTTGCCTTGGAGGAAGATGACCCACTGCGGCAGCGTGTCGTAGCGCTCGGCAATATATCGCAAGTACGACGGCGCCTCGCGTCCACGGTTGGGCATGAAGCGGCGGCGGCAGCACTCGCCGCAGGTCATATTGCGCATTGCGTCCGGCGTCACGTACGAGGGACTGCGCGTGCCTGAGTCGACAACTTGATAGAGCGTGATGGGCGACCCGCGCACCAGCGGCGAGATGCTCTCGTACGGCTCGTCCCAGCGCGCCCAGACAAACTCGAGCCAGCCGCCGAAGGTGCAAGCCATGGGGTCGGTCCTGCGCGTCGCCACAGACGGCGGCGCGCGAGAGCTGTTGCGAGTGGTGCTGGGCGAAGCCCCAGGCGCTGCCGGAGAGGCTGTGCCGTAGTCGGTGCGGTCGACGGCGCTCGGGCCCGGTGCCCCAACTGCCAACCTCTTTGGCGCGATTTGTGGATGATTCTCTTGGTTGGCCGGGCGGCGCGATGCCGGGGCCGCCCTGGCTTTCGACGAGACAAATCTTGCGATTCACAGCCTTGTTATTGAGAAGAAAATACCTCCGATGGCGCTGTGCGCTGGCCTGTGAGAGGTTCACACACACTCCACTTTCGGGGTGTGCACTGTAACTAGTCGGCCCCGTGAACCCCTTCACGTGACGGTTTTGAAAAGCGGCCGCGCAAGCTATGACCACACGTGCACCGGTCTCTCAAAGAGATTGTGACGGGGGCGGCCCGGTGTCACCTAGAGGGATAACTTGCGGCTTCCCACGCATGGGCCCTCAGGCGCTCACACGAGAGCGGGCCTCCTGCACAGCGCCGCCCGCCGGCGCCGCATGGTGAAAGCTGATGTTGCCTACAACGCACGGAACCCTCGGTCCGGACGTGGCCGACACATTGGCCGCGCAACCCGGACGGTGCCGCTACCGACGCAGCCGGCGGCCGCCGCCACAGCCTGCCCCGCCTCTCCGGTGCCGCCGGCGGTCTGTTCTGCTGGCTGTGCCGCGGCGCCGGTGCAATCGAGGGAGACCACGCAGCCCTCGAAGGGGCGGAGGTACCTAACACTCGTCCGCCAACCACTTCTGCGCACCGGCGCCTACAGCCGGAGCCCTCGAATGTGGCGGAGGGCCTCCCTCCGCTTAGGGCTGCAGGGAAGGGACTCCCGCTCCCACCCCCCCCCCCCCTCTCACGGAGAAGTGGCCGGTCGGTTTTCCATTGCCCCTCTCTCTACCCGAGGCGCCCCGTCTACTCATTCGATGACGAGGCGGAGGCGGCACACTTGCGGCGCTGATTCGTGGCGGCGCCGAGCGGGCGGCCGCAGGGTTAGGGTTAGGGTTAGGGTTAGGGTTAGGGTTTGGGTTAGGGTCTGGGTTAGGGTCAGGGTTAGGGTCAGGGTTAGGGGTAGGGTTGGGGTCACACTCGGCTCTGATTCGTGGCGGCGCCGAGTGTACTAACGGGGGCGGAGGCGGCACACTTGTGGCTCTGATTCGTGGCGGCGCCGAGCGGGCGGCCGCAGCGGCCGGCAGCGTCGTAGAGGGAGGTCCAACGGTACGACTTGTCCCACCAGCCGGTGGAGCCGAGGAAGTACCACCCTTCGGCGCGCGCGAGGAGGAATGCGGCGACGTGAGGCAGCGGGTCCTCGTCCGCGGACTTGTAGTAGGTGTGCACAGTCGCCGCGACGCCGCGAGAGGACTCCTGCAGCATGTTGCGCAGCGTGCCGGCGCCGTCGTCGCGCGGCGCCACGTCGCCTCGGAAGCTCTCGTAGTAGACCGAGTACCGCGCGCCGCGCAGCGCCTCGAGCAGCCGCGACTCGTTGAGCCAGATCCGCTGCCGCGCCTGCGAGTCAATGAGCCCTCGCATCGAGGTTGGGACTCTATCGCCTGGCAGGTAGGCCTCCGCCGCCTCGCCGGCCTCGCAAAGCTCCCCACGTGGCGCAATCTCGGGTAATCTCGGGTAATCTCGGGTAATCTCGCCGGCCTCGCAAAGCTCCCCACGTTAGCAAACATCGGCGCCTTGCCGCGCGCGTTCAGGAGGCGCGCTGAGCGACGAGCGACATCTAGTGTCCCGTCCAGAAGCGCCTCGCAGCCGCTCCAGACTGCCGCGCCCCCGGAGGCGGGGACCGTGGAGCAGTTTGGGACGTTGACGACGCGCCGGCCCCACGGTCGCACCTCGAAGAGTGCAGCCGAGGTGCGGCCGAGGTGCGGCCGAGATGCAGCCGAGGTGCAGCCGAGGGGCAGCCGAGGTGCAGCCGAGGGGCAGCCGAGGTGCAGCCGAGGGGCAGCCGAGGTGCAGCCGAGGTGCAGCCGAGGGGCAGCCGAGGGGCAGCCGAGGGGCAGCCGAGGGGCAGCCGAGGGGCAGCCGAGGGGCAGCCGAGGGGCAGCCGAGGTGCAGCCGAGGTGCAGCCGAGGTGCAGCCGAGGTGCAGCCGAGGTACGGCCGAGGTGCGGCCGAGGTGCAGCCGAGACCAGTCTAGAGACGGCCGCACCTCTGGGATATCGTAGCCGTAGTTGAAGGCGTCGAAGAAGACGCCGTCGATGGTGGGGGAGAGGGCGAGCGGCAGGACGATGTGCTCGACGTAGTAGTCGCGCGCCGAGGAGTTTGCAAAGTTCCAGAACCAGCCGACGCAGTGCGGAGAGGCGGAGCGCATCTGCTGGCAGTTTGTGCGCGAGAACTCGGGCTTGCCGTCGGTCGAGAGCAGGAAGAAGCCCTCGTACTCTGGCTTGTGCATCAGCGGCCACACCGCCGCGTTCATCCCAAACGCCCAGCCAAAGGACGCGTAGACGAGCACGGGCAGCGCTGGGTGGCGGTCCTTGAGGAGAGCGGCCTGGGCGAGCTGCGGGTAGATCACGGCGGTCATGTCCGTCGAAGTGGCGAGGTGCTGCCAGCCTAGCATGCTGCACCGCGTTCTGAACTAAGAGAACATGGGAGTGATTACAAATCGAGCCCCGTGCGCGCCTAGGATCGCGAGCGAGTACCGGCCAATCTCCTCCAGCTGCGCTGCCGATTCCCACTCGGTGCCATTTGCTCCGAACCACGCAGCAGGGAACCGGCTCCAGTTATACGCGCCGAAGACACCCGCTGCCGGCGGGGTCGGAAGTGGCCTGGGAAGTGGCGACATGATTTGGAGCCGTCGCCGCGGTTCGAGTCCCCCAACAAAACAAGGCCGGCATTTCTTCCCATCCTCCATTCATGCATCCCCGTCATGCTGGGGTGATCAGTAGTAGGGAGCTCGCCGTCCACAACGTGGGGCTCAATGGATATGAGGAACGCGGGGCTCCGATAGGGTCCCGCGCCGGTCGGGTTGGTGTACCGACGGGGACCCTAACCCGCTGAACCTCCCGGCTAGGCCGGTAGGGGACGGGGCGGCACTCGTATAGCAAGGCCCGTGGGGCACTCGCCACGGGCCGCTCCCACATGTCCCGGGCACAACTCCTCCGGAGAGTTCGCCCATCACAGGACCGATGTCCATGTGGGTCAGTCAGTGTTCGTTGTGGCGACCGAGTGCTCGCTGAGCGGCACCGAAGTGTGTCGCTACGGGCGGGATATGCTAGCTATTCTCGATTGCTCACCTTGATGCGATTGCTTGCGCGAAGGCAGCGGAGGCGCGCAGCGAGAGACAAGCGATCCTGCTGCTGCAAGAGCAAAGCAGGTTAGGCCGAGCGACTGTCGACTCGAGCGTTGGTCGATCTGCGCGTGTAGGCGGAGCAGATAACCACCACGGCCGCGGCACACCTCGCAAAGGTGGCCCATGTGTACAGCGCGCCGAGAGGTCGCGCGACGGGGCCGAGTCGAGCGTCGCGCTCAAGTCGTTGCCTCTGGTCTGCATCGTGCGCCACACGGCGGCGCGTCGATAGCGATGTAGCGCCCCAGGGGCACCCGAGAGGGCGCCTGCGCGGCTGAGGGGCGCGCTAGAGCGGCACGGTGAGCCCTAGCGAGGCGCGGGGCGCGCTCGAGCGGGCAGCCGCTATGAATATCTGAGTATGCCGAGATGAGGCATGCTCGTGTAAGAGGCGGCGAGGCGGCTGCGGCTGCAGGCGGCCTTCTCGCCAAAGGCACGCGGCGCGAAGGCGTGCGGTGCGTGTAGAGGAGGCGCGGCCCGCCTCGCGAAGGCGGCCAGCGCATGTGTGGCGCGCCGAGAGGTCGCCCAGCGCGGCGGAGTCGGGCGTCGCGCTCGATCGACTCGAGCAGCTGTCTCTGGTTTGCGTCGTGCGCCACACGGCGGCGCGTCGCGGGCAATGACGCGCCTCGAGGGCACTCGGGAGGGTGCCTGTCTGGCTGAGGGGCGCGCTACAGCGGCATGGTGAGCCCTAGCGAGGCGCGGGGCGCGCTCGAGCGGGCGGCCGCTATGAATCTCTGAGTATGCCGAGATGAGGCATGCTCGTGTGAGAGGCGGAGAGGCGACTGCGGCTGCAGGCGGCCTTCTCGCCAAAGGCACCGCGGCGCGAAGGCGTGCGGTGCGTGTAGAGGAGGCGCAGGGCGCCTCGCGAAGGCGGCGAGCGCATGTGTGGCGCGCCGAGAGGTCGTTCGACGCAGCAAAGTAGAGCGTCGCGCTCGATCGACTCGAGCAGCTGTCTCTGGTTTGCGTCGCGCGCCACACGGCGGCGCGTCGCGGGCGATGAAGCGCCTCGAGAGCACTCGGGAGGGTGCCTGTGCGGCTGAGGGGCGCGCTAGAGCGGCACGGTGAGCCCTAGCGAGGCGCGGGGCGCGCTCGAGCGGGCGGCCGCTATGAATCTCTGAGTATGCCGAGATGAGGCATGCTCGTGTGAGAGGCGGAGAGGCGACTGCGGCTGCAGGCGGCCTTCTCGCCAAAGGCACGCGGCGCGAAGGCGTGCGGTGCGTGTAGAGGAGGCGCAGGGCGCCTCGCGAAGGCGGCCAGCGCATGTGTGGCGCGCCGAGAGGTCGTTCGACGCAGCGAAGTAGAGCGTCGCGCTCGATCGACTCGAGCAGCTGCCTCTGGTTCGCGTCGCGCGCCACACGGCGGCGCGTCGCGGGCGATGAAGCGCCTCGAGAGCACTCGGGAGGGTGCCTGTGCGGCTAAGGGGGCGCGCTGGAGCAGCCCAGTGAGCCCTAGCGAGGCGCGGGGCGCGCTCGAGCGGGCGGCCGCTATGAATCTCTGAGTATGCCGAGATGAGGCATGCTCGTGTAAGGGGCGGCGAGGCGGCTGCGGCTGCAGGCGGCCTTCTCGCCAAAGGCACGCGACGCGAAGGCGTGCGGTGCGTGTAGAGGAGGCGCGGCCCGCCTCGCGAAGGCGGCGAGCGCATGTGTGGCGCGCCGAGAGGTCGTTCGACGCAGCGAAGTAGAGCGTCGCGCTCGATCGACTCGAGCAGCCGCCTCTGGTCTGCATCTCGCGCCACGAGGAGGCACGCCGCGAGCTAGGGGGGCGCCTCGAGGGCACTCGGGAGGGTGCCTCGCGAAGGCGGCCAGCGCATGTGTGGCGCGCCGAGAGGTCGTTCGACGCAGCGAAGTAGAGCGTCGCGCTCGATCGACTCGAGCAGCCGTCTCTCTGGTTCGCGTCGTGCGCCACACGGCGGCGCGTCGCGGGCGATGAAGCGCCTCGAGGGCACTCGGGACGGTGCCTGTGCGGCTGAGGGGCGTGCTGTAGCGGCACGGTGAGCCCCAGCGAGGCGCGGGGCGCGCCCGAGCGGGCGGCCGCTATGAATCTCTGGGTATGCCGAGAAGTGGCATGCTCGTGTAAGAGGAGGAGAGGCGGCTGCGGCTGCCGGCGGCCTTCTCGCCAAAGGCACGCGGCGCGAAGGCGTGCGGTGCGTGTAGAGGAGGCGCAGGGCGCCTCGCGAAGGCGGCCAGCGCATGTGCAGCGCGCCGAGAGGTCGCCCAGCGCGGCGGAGTCGGGCGTCGCGCTCGATCGACTCGAGCAGCTGCCTCTGGTTTGCGTCGTGCGCCACACGGCGGCGCGTCGCGGGCGATGAAGCGCATCGAGAGCACTCGGGAGGGTGCCTGTCTGGCTGAGGGGCGCGCTACAGCGGCACGGTGAGCCCTAGCGAGGCGCGGGGCGCGCTCGAGCGGGCGGCCGCTATGAATCTCTGAGTATGCCGAGATGAGGCATGCTCGTGTAAGAGGCGGAGAGGCGACTGCGGCTGCAGGCGGCCTTCTCGCCAAAGGCACGCGGCGCGAAGGCGTGCGGTGCGTGTAGAGGAGGCGCAGGGCGCCTCGCAAAGGCGGCTAGCGCATGTGTGGCGCGCCGAGAGGTCGTTCGACGCAGCGAAGTAGAGCGTCGCGCTCGATCGACCCGAGCAGCTGTCTCTGGTTCGCGTCGCGCGCCACACGGCGGCGCGTCGCGGGCGATGAAGCGCCTCGAGAGCACTCGGGACGGTGCCTGTGCGGCTGAGGGGCGTGCTGTAGCGGCACGGTGAGCCCTAGCGAGGCGCGGGGCGCGCCCGAGCGGGCGGCCGCTATGAATCTCTGGGTATGCCGAGATGAGGCATGCTCGTGTAAGAGGAGGAGAGGCGGCTGCGGCTGCCGGCGGCCTTCTCGCCAAAGGCACGCGGCGCGAAGGCGTGCGGTGCGTGTAGAGGAGGCGCAGGGCGCCTCGCGAAGGCGGCCAGCGCATGTGCAGCGCGCCGAGAGGTCGCTCAGCGCGGCGGAGTCGGGCGTCGCGCTCGATCGACTCGAGCAGCTGCCTCTGGTTTGCGTCGTGCGCCACACGGCGGCGCGTCGCGGGCGATGAAGCGCCTCGAGGGCACTCGGGAGGGTGCCTGTCTGGCTGAGGGGCGCGCTACAGCGGCATGGTGAGCCCTAGCGAGGCGCGGGGCGCGCTCGAGCGGGCAGCCGCTATGAATCTCTGAGTATGCCGAGATGAGGCATGCTCGTGTGAGAGGCGGAGAGGCGGCTGCGGCTGCAGGCGGCCTCCTCGCCAAAGTCACGCGGCGCGAAGGTGTGCGGTGCATGTAGAGGAGGCGCGGCCTGCCTCGCGAAGGCGGCGAGCGCATGTGTGGCGCGCCGAGAGGTCGTTCGACGCAGCGAAGTAGAGCGTCGCGCTCGATCGACCCGAGCAGCTGTCTCTGGTTCGCGTCGCGCGCCACACGGCGGCGCGTCGCGGGCGATGAAGCGCCCCGAGGGCACTCGGGAGGGTGCCTGTGCGGCTGAGGGGCGCGCTAGAGCGGCACGGTGAGCCCTAGCGAGGCGCGGGGCGCGCTCGAGCGGGCGGCCGCTATGAATCTCTGAGTATGCCGAGATGAGGCATGCTCGTGTGAGAGGCGGAGAGGCGACTGCGGCTGCAGGCGGCCTTCTCGCCAAAGGCACGCGGCGCGAAGGCGTGCGGTGCGTGTAGAGGAGGCGCAGGGCGCCTCGCGAAGGCGGCGAGCGCATGTGTGGCGCGCCGAGAGGTCGCTCAGCGCGGCGGAGCCGAGCATCGGACGCGCTCGATCGACCCGAGCAACTGTCGCTGGTTTGCGTCGCGCGCCACACGGCGGCACGTCGCTGCAGCGCGCCCCGAGGGCACTCGGGAGGGTGCGAGTGAATAGGGACGGCTCCGACGCTATCATTGAGTTGCTGTCGTGGGCGTGCCACGCCCTCGATCGTCGGCGAGAGGCACCCAGCGAGCGGCTAGCGCGGGGGGCCGATCGTCATTGGGTCATTATCGTGGGCGTGCCGCCCTCGATCGTCTGCGATGGGCGCCCAGCGAGCGCAGAGCGCGGGGGGGCGACACACGCGACAGGTGCTCTGTGAGCGACCTGTGAATGATAGATGTGAACAGGCGAGGTTTGACGCCATCGCCCTCACGCCCTGCATGGTGGCAGAGAAGGGGAAGGTCGGTGGGTGCGCGAAGCGTTGTCGCGGGGCCCAGAGCCGGGCGCGAGGCGCTCGGCTGCGGTAGGCCAGTGGGTGAGCGCCATTGGGCGGCTCAGCCATAGGCACGTCGTAGGAACGCGTTGTCTTGAAAGTAGGCGCGTACGTCCTCTTTCGTTTTCACAGCAGAGCCAGACTCTGTGTGTGAGGGCTGGATGCACCACAGTACTCCGGTGTGAAGAAAGGCTACCGCCCCGCTCGTACCTCGCGGGGCTATCGCTCATTCTTCCCATCCTCCATTCATGCATCCCCGTCATGCTGGGGTGATCAGTAGTAGGGAGCTCGCCGTCCACAACGTGGGGCTCAATGGATATGAGGAACGCGGGGCTCCGATAGGGTCCCGCGCCGGTCGGGTTGGTGTACCGACGGGGACCCTAACCCGCTGAACCTCCATCGAGTAAGTATTGAAGTGGGTTAGGATCGAGAGAGCTCGTATCCATTGAGTCCCGTGTGGAGGGATCGAGATCATTCGTTTACATGATGTGTACAAATTTCATCCTTCCCCTGAGCGCACGAGAGCGACAGGAGCGCACGAGAGCGACTGTAGTGGAGTCACTAGTGCGCAATGACGGCGCTAGCGGTCTTCGGGTCCGCACCCCTCTCCGTCTCGCGCCTCGGCGGCGGCGAGCGGCTCGCATCAGCTCACCTGTTCCTCGCGGTGGCTAGCCACCCTTTCTCCGGGCTCGAGCCGTAGAAGTGGCGAGTGGTCTCATGAGCGCACTGCTGGTGGCTGGCGGTCCTCGGGTCCGCACCCCTTCTCCCAACTCGAGCCGTGGTGGCGAGTGGTCTCATGAGCGCACCGATGGTGGCTGGCGGTCCTCGGGTCCGCACCCCTTCTCCCAACTCGAGCCGTGGTGGCGAGTGGTCTTCTGAGCGCACCGTTGGTGGCCGGCGGTCCTCGGGTCCGCACCCCTGCGCATCAGAGTGTATCTCGGCGAGGCCGCTGCGCTCACACGCATGTGATGCGAGCCTGCGCCACTCCATCCGGCCCGCAGTGGGCCCACGGGATGGTGAAGGGCACATGCGTAGAGAAGTGCGAGGGTGAGAGGCACTGGATTTCCAGAGTGCTCGCGACGGTCGGGAAGCGATCCCGCGTGGCAGCCCCGATGTAGGCGCACCGCCTGGCACCCTCACTTCACCCTCTCTGCTGCATGTTCGAGCTGTGGTTGGCTCTGAAGCAACTTGGCCGACAAAACTTTTCTGTCAGAATCGTCGCAGAAGCAGGACGGCCCGCTGGCAGGAGCGGAGCCGGTCGGTTTCCATTGTCAAGGCCGGCCAGAAGGTGTGTGGTGACGGCGCCGTGGCAGGAGTGCGGAGAAGAGCTCGCCGAACGCGAGCAGCAGATGTCCAAAGTGTGCCAGCGCGAGAGCCTCGCGAGCGGGCGCAGAAGGAGCTCGCCGTGACACGATGCCGGGCGGTGGTGGTGGGTGCTCTGGCGACTGTGCACAGTGGGCAAAGTCAGGCTGCAACAGGGCAGCACGATGGTAGTGCCCTGCTGCAGCCTGGCCTGACATGCACAGGGCGAACAGAGGCGGTACTATCGTCCGGCGCTCGTCGTCAAATCTGGGCCAACTTCGACCGCCGCCACAGCTCGCCACGAGCACGCAGCGACAAAATGTTGACTGTACGGAAGTTGAGGCTGGTCCAGAGGAAGAGGCTGCCGTGCGAGCCGGCAGCAGGCTGGCTCGTTGTGGACTGCCGCGGCGACTTTTATGGGCTTCTCTGTACATAGTACCGAATACGGTACTATGGTTTACCCACATTATGCGAGTAGTGTCCTCGCAACTTCCTCGTCGGCACACACACATGCTCGCCTGTGTCTCCGAGCGCACAAGCCGCGACAGCGATGAAACGGGCGATGAGTGTCCTGCTCTCTGCTGACCTGCTGCCAACCATATTCGCTCACCTACCGCTGGCCGACTACTTCCACGCCGCGTCCACATGCCGGGATTGGCAGAACGCTCAAGCGGAGGACTGGCTTGAAGAGCCAAAACCATTCGCATTGTGCAGTGCTGAGCCGCTCGAGGCTCTGAGGTTGCTCGCGCAGTGCCAGGCGCGCGGAATTCGCTCGGCGCGAGTGACGGAGGCGTGCTTGCGACGGCTGCGCAGCGCGCTGGCGCGGATAAAGCGTGGCACACCCGACACGGAGCGTGAGACGGCGCTTCTGGAACAGCGCGAGACGACTCGGGCGCAGCTGAGGGCCGCGGCCGTGGTGCCAACGCTGGTCGCCGCGCTGACCGAGCACGCTGGCCGTACCGCCGTGCAGTTGGTGGGCTGCGACGTGCTGCAGAGGCTCAGCTCATCCCGCAGGGCGCCCTTGTAGACGATGCTGTGATGCGCAGCACGGTCAACGCCGGTATCGTGCCGCTGCTCCTTGCCAACCTACGCCATGGTGGTGCGTGTGCCGACGACTCCAAGCTGGTGCTGCTCAGAGCGTCGCTCGGTGCAGCCCGCCACCTTGGCCGCGCCTCGCTTCTCCGCGAGGCCGTGGGCGCGCCACCGCTGCCCTCGGTCGTCGATGCGCTGCTCGCCGCCATCGACCACCTCATGGACGTGTGCGCGCGTGGCAAGGCGTCAGTGATCTTCTCGCCAAAACCGTCCCGCCGTCACCGCCGCGCCGCCGCCGCCGCCACCGCCACCGTCGATGCCGTCACTGACACGGCGGGTATATTGGGTGGTCTAATCGAGGAGAGGAGTGAGGAGCGCCCGGCGCGTGGTGGCTCGGCGCCCCTTCCGCGCGACCGCGCAACGCACTCCCTCTGGATCGACCGAGTGGTGCGTCTCCTCGACGCTACCGCGCGCTTCTCCGACGGCGCCATCTGCATCGGTAGCAATGGCGCGATGCGGGCGGCGGTCGCTGCGTCGCGTGCGGCGCGGCTGCTGCTCTGGCTCGCGAGCAGCCGCCATCCCACCACGGCCACTGTGTCCCCGCCAGATGACGATCGCGGCACTGGCCTGCTCATAGCCGAAGACCACCCAAGTTGGCTGGCGGTGGTGCTGCGCCGCGGCGGCCTCGAGGCGGTGGCGCGCAATCTCCTGGCGGCGGAGGCGCGCGCCGAGCGCATGCGGCAGGGGTGGGAACAGAAGCAGTGGGCGGGCATGCGTTCGCATCAGTGCGCTCCGCTGCGCAAAGCCCTGACGTGGCTCGTGCGCCGTGAGGAGGAGATGGGGCTCGGCGTGGGTGGCACCGAGGGCATCACGTGTGTTGTCGCACGCGCTTGCGCAGCCTCAACGCGAGCGCGCGACTTCAGCCGCGGCTGTTGGTGGCACGTCCCCGATGAGGTGAGGACTCGTGCGGCATCCGACCTCGGAGAGCTCTGTCGCAACGGCTGTCTATCCGCCACCGCCATCTCCCCCCCTTCCCCCCCCCCCGCCCTCGCCGCCTAGGGCGTGGCAGACGGTGAAGCAACGAACGAGCTAGCATGGTGCATGCGGGGAGAGAGACATTGTGCACGGAGAGTGTGCATCGCCGCTCTTAACGGAGTCGCTTAGGCGGCTCTCCGGTGGTGTGCCGGTGTGTGTGCTAGTGTGCGCGCCAGTCTCTCCCCTGCAGGCATAAGCCCGTTTGGTATTCGAATACGGCTTTACCTGGGTTTCCGCTACGTCAATAATGCGCTAAAACGGAAGCAACAGCCTCCAGTCACACACTCACATGGAGCTCCTCGCTCGCCCGCCTGGCGACGGCAGCGGCCATGGCGACGCTGACGGCGGCGGCACTTGTGGCGGTGAGAGACGAGTGTGAGACAAAGGGCGGCGGGGATGGAGGGCGGGAGCGACGGGGATGGTGACGGTGACGGTGGCGAGGGAGAGGAAGGGGGTCCATTAACACCAGACAGCGAGAGGGGCGGGGAGGAAAGGGGGAGAGAGGAAACCCCACGGCGATGCCAGAAGCGGCAGGGGCACGATGAACAGGTAGACAACGGCCAAGGCGATGGCGAGGACGAGGAGACACGGGACGACGGCAGGCGAGACGAGGAGGACGGAGGCGAGGGCAGAGACAGCGCCGCAGTCGACAGAGGCGACAACGATGGAGAGGGGGAGGGAACGACAACGCGCACAGAGGATGAGGATATAAACTGGGACGACGCAGCGGAGGGGATAGACGAGGGAATCGAGGGACCGGAGGGCTTTCGCGACAGCGACGATGACGACGAAGGCAGGGGAGGAGACGGAGGGGCGACACGCAGGAGGAGCGAAATCGCGAACGGCCCGAGCAGAGAGGGCGACGGCGGAGCACGAGGGGGCAACGGAGACGCCTCGGCTGCGCCACGGTATGGCCTGCTAGACGATTACCCCAAGACGGGCGAGTTCACGACCTCGGCGATGGCAGAGGGCGCGATTGAAGGGGAGGCTACTATGTACGAGATGCCTTCTTCTCATGCCACGGACTATGCATTCTCGCGCTTCCACAAAGCAGAAGCTGTGATTGACCCAGATCCGCTGCTAGCGCTCGGTGCGAGCGCTGCCACCGTCTAGGACGTATAGTCGTGGAGCACCCGCGCCGGGTGGCTGGGGAGCCTATCTCACCAAAAGCACAACCCCGGACCAAGAGAGCACGCACACAACATAGGACCTGTTCCTTTTTACCCATCTCCAGTAGAGGTGTCTGTTTTATTTATGTATTAGGGAGTGGACATCACTAGGGTCCCCAGACCTGTGTGCTGTGAGGTCTGTTTGTGTGGAAGCCTAAGCGTGTGCGGCCAGGCCGACGTAGCTGTCGCAGGAGGTGGTGGTCACCAGCGGTCAGCAATACCGCAGAGCCGCGCACGCGGCTCACCACTCACACTTGCTGGGCACCGATCTTCGGGTTCAGATGACCATCCCTCTGCAGAAGAGGGACGAGGGACGCCTCACGATACTACAGAGGGCCGAGACCGGGGCGATTCCGCACGGTCAGACCACTCTCATCCCTACCACAGTAGCTCGACTCGTCCCGCGCTGGAGCGAGCGGCCGCGCGTGAGCAGAGCTCGCGCGGCGCCACGCCCCCGCAATTAGGACGACCGCGAGCGCAGCAAGGGCGACGAGGGCGACTCCCGCGGCCGCTATCCACGCCGCCAGAGGCTGCTCCCCCGGGCCAGGCCCGCTCGGCTTGGCGAGGAGAGCCGTGGGCACCATGGAGCCTCTGCTGCTCCGGGGCGGGGGCACGTTCTTCCTGTGTGTCACCTCGCAACAGAAAGAAAGAAAGAAACTGAACAACCCAAGGGAGGGATGGAGGACGGCACGCCGCCACCACGCGGCCAAGGTACGAATTCTTTTGTCGCTGAGGAGCCAGCTTCGCTCGGTGGTGAGCTATATGAAGCGAGTTCGAAACCGGACCTTCAAGCAGCAAACCAAGCAGCCGCCCGAGCCAAAGTACCAGCGGATGGCCGACATCGTGCGCGAGAGCATCGAGGCGCGCCGCCGCGCCGAGGCCGAGGCGGCGGCGTCAGCCGAGGCGGCGGCGGCAGCTGCAGCTGCTGCTGAGGCTGTGGCTGAGCATGGCGGCGCGGGCACAAACGGCGCGGCGGGCGCGGCGCACGCGCCGCAGCAGAACGGCGACGCCGGCGCGGAGAGGAGCAAAGCTGCCGCCGAGGCGGCTGCGGCGGCGGCGGTGGCGGCCGAAGCGAAGAGAGAGGAGGAGAGGCGGAGGGCGGAGGAGGTGCCGTCGGAGGAGTACATTGCGGAGATGCAGGAGGATCTGGACGCGCTTAAGAAGAAGAAGAGCCTCCTCTACTTCAAGCTCAAGGAGATCCTCAAGCTCGAGAAAGAGAAGCAGGCGCGGGGGCACGCAGCCTCCCCCCCTAGCGTCCCTCCTCTCCCCTCTCGTCGCTCCCTCCCTCCCTCCCTCCCTCCCTCCCTCCCTCCCTCCCTCCCTCCCTCCTCCTCTCCCTCCTCTCCCCTCTCTCTGTCCACCTCGAGACTCCCTCCCCGCCCGCCCGCCCTCCCTCCCCTCCCCACGCCCCCCCGGCCCCCGCCTCGCAGGAGCAGTCCAAGGCGGCGGAGGAGGCGCGGCGGGCAGAGGAGGAGGCGGCCGCGGAGGCTCGCGGCGGCGGCCGGCGCTCCAACACCCGACCGGAACTTTCCGCGACCCTTCTCGGAGCCTTCCGGGTAGGCAGCCGCGGCGGCGGGCGGCGTGGTGGACAGCGCTGCCGAGGGCGTCACCGACGAGCAGGTGGACGACTCACACACACACCGCTCACCCACGCGCACCGGGCCTTGCACTTTGAATGCCGCGGGGCTCCTGTCGTCTAGACGTGGAGTCGCGAGGGACCAGCCTGGCCCTCGCCCCACCTCCCACCTCGTGTGTGTGTGTGGAGAAGGTTACCTCACCCTTGCCTCAGGCGGACGACGTGTCTTTGTCGTCCGAGGCGCCGGACCACCATCTAGCTAGAGGCGCGGCGAGGGGGGGCAAGGATCGACCGCGCTGCGGCGGCGGCGGCTACGGAGGCGGCGGCTACGGAGGCGGCGGCTGCATCACGGGCAGGTCGCCGCTGGCGTGTACTGCGGGCGCTGTCTCGCACACGCCAGGCCTGCGAGAGAGAGAGCCGAGAGACAGCCGAGGGAGAGCCGGGGCAGAGCCGGGGCAGAGCCGAGAGACAGCCGAGAGACAGCCGAGAGAGATCTCGCAGGTTTCGCCCTTCCCCCCCCCCCCGGGGGGGGCGGGGCTGTACTAGCACTGTTCGACTCGGTCACACTGACCCGCAGCAGCTGGGGCTCTGCCTCACACCCCTGCGACTGCGACGTCTCAGCCCTGGCCTCTTCTAGGCCCGCCCGCGGCCCGGCTCGAGCTCGGAGGCGGTGGCGGCTACGGCGGAGGAGGGGGGGCAGGCGCGTATGCGCACGGCGGCGCACACGGGCGCTTCATGCAGCCTCGCCCCTCGTGTGGCGGCGATCGGCCGACGTGCGGCGGCGGCACGTACTGCGACGGCGGGGGGAGGGGCCGGTGGGCTGCTCGCCCGCCCCAGCCCTGTTCACGACCATGGAGCGAGACTGACTTTATTGCGACCCCTCACCCCTCATCCCTCACCCCTCACCCCTCACCCCTCACCCCTCACCCCTCACCCCTCACCCCTCACCCGTCACCGCTCACAGCTGTTGTGTACAGAGGTCTCACAAGTGGCGTGCGTCGCAACTTGCGCACGGAGTCTGAGAGGAGGGTGTGCGCGGCATGGCCCAAGTAGAGCCGTAAGTGGCGAAGCGCTTATAGCTTTTTGACCCATGGGGGCTCGTGCAAAATTATCCAGGGTTTACACTTTTTATTTAGCAGACCACGCGGGCCGGACTGACTGCTCACTCACCGAGCACGAAGACCTTGACCGCTGCGTAGCACGCCTCGGGCTCGTGCTTGTAGCACCAGTGTCCCGCGCGCGGCACGCCGACCACGACCCCCCCCCTCCTTGGCGCGCAGCTTATCGAGTTGCCCCCCTGTGTTGGACATGGTGTTCTTCTCCTCGCCGTAGATGTAGCACAATGGGCTGCCTTGGCGAGGGAGGCCTCAAAAAAGAGGCCCTGGCTGCCAGTGCCTTCCCCCCCGCCCGGGGGAAAGACCGTCTTGAGGGGCGTGAAGTCACGGGCAGGCCCCACCTCTCCCGCCCCCTCCTTGCCCGGCATGGGGGGCGGCCCGCCCGCCCGGCAGAGCCACTTCTCGCCAGCGATGGCGCGAGGGGGGATGGACCTGTACCGCGGCGGCGGAGGAGGAGGGGGGTACGGCGGGAAGGGCGACGGCGGCGGCTACGGCAAGGGCGGCGGGCACGGCATGGGAGGCGGCGACCCGATGTCTGCGCCCGGACAGCCGGGCGGCGGCGGCGGCGGAGGTCCCTCTCGTCTCCTCTCTCTCTCTCTCTCTCTCTCTCTCTCTCTCTCTCTCTCTCTCTCTCTCTCCCCCCCCCCCCCACCCACCCCTTCCTCCCCGGGCGCACGTGCTCACTGTTTGCAACCTCGGCTCGTAGGCTTCCCCGGGCCGCAGGGGTGGCAGGCCCAGGGGCGGCACGCGGGCCCCCCGCCGCACGAAGGGCCGCCGCCCCACCCGCACGGGTACGGCAAGCGGGGCTGGTGGGCGCGGTGAAGCCGGCACCGTCCACGGACTCGGCCGCGTCGCCCGCGACATGGCGGCACGCGCAGGATGGTGTACCAAAAGAATTTTCGTTACTCGACAGACAAGGCGCAGACCTTAGAAGCCGTCGTCCTCGCCACAAAAGCCGCCGTCTGAATATTCCCCGCTCCTCCGACACATCCGCCCCGCGGCCCGCGCCCGCCTCAAGCCCCCAAATTGCAACCAGAGCCACGAACAGGAACACAGAGACAGCCGCTCGCGAAGGGTGAGATGCATCTCAGAAGACCGCCTCGCTCCACGCTCGCGCTCGAGAGTACGAGAGGTCGAGATCTCGAGTCTCGAGACACTCACACGAGACACGAGAGACTCGGTGCTTCCCATCTCATCAATCCAGATCAATTGATCTAGATCCCAGTCTCGAGCGCACCCTGCCGCGCCACGTCAACTGCCCAGGCAGCACGAGTGGGAGTGCGCACCGCGCCGCGGCGCTGCGTCTCCTCCTACCTCGCTCCACCGCGGCTTCCGCCACCACTGCTGCACCCACCCTCCCTCGCTAGCTAACTACCGCTGCGCCCACGCCTCGACCTTCTTGGGCAGCAGCTGGTTCGACAGGTCCTCTCCGTGGCCGAGGCCGCCCTCGCCCTGGCCCCAGGTAAAGACGGCGCCGTTGGCGGTGCGGGCGAGGCTGTGGTCCTCTCCAGCTGACACAGCGACGACGCGCTGGCCAGCAAAGGCCTCGACCTTCTTGGGCAGCAGCTGGCTCTGCTCGTCGCCATGGCCCAGCTTGCCAAAGCCTCCCCAGCCCCAGCTCCAGAGAGCGCCGTCAGCAGTGAGGGCGAGGCTGTGGTCGCCTCCAGCCGACACGGCGACGACGCGCTGCCCAGCCAAGGCCTCGATCTTCTTGGGCAGCAACTGGCGCTGCTCGTCGCCGTGGCCCAACTGGCCCCCGCCTCCAAAGCCCCAGCTCCAGAGAGCGCCGTCAGCGGTGAGGGCGATGCTGTGCGCGGCTCCAGCCGACACACCGATGGCGCGCTGCCCCGCCAACGCCTCGACCTTCTTGGGCAGCAGCTGGCGCTGCTCGTCGCCGTGGCCCAGCTGGCTAGAGGCTCCATCGCCCCAGCTCCAAACGGCTCCGTCGGCGGTGAGGGCGAGGCTATGGACGTATCCAGCCGACACGGCGACGACGCGCCGCCCTACCAACGCCTCGATTCTCTCGGGCAGCAGCTGGGTCTGCCCGTCGCCGTGGCCCAACCGGCCCGCACCTCCATCGCCCCAGCTCCAAACGGCGCCGTCGGCGGCGAGGGCGAGGCTGTGCAGAGACCCAGCCGACACGGCGATGACGCGCTGGACCGTCAAGGCCTCGATCTTCTCGGGCTGCCACTGGTGCTGCTCGTCGCCGTGGCCCAGCTGGCCGAACCTTCCAAAGCCCCAGCTCCAGACACTGCCGTTGGCAGCGAGGGCGAGGCTGTGGCCTGTTCCCGCCGACACGCTCACGACGCGCTCGCCACCCAGCGGGGAGGGGAGGCGGGTCGGCGTGTTCAGCCGCGCCACACCCTCGCCGTGCCCGAGCAGTCCCGGCAGCCAGCTCTCAGCCGTTCCGCACGACGCACGACAAGAGCCGCCCCTCGCCGTCGATGAAGAGGCTGCGCCGATAGCCTACCGCCGCCCTCGCCGGCGGGTTGGCCTCGCGCAGCAAAGCAGCGAAGCACAGCCACCGCACGGCGCAGCCCTCGCCCTCCGGCTGCGCCGGCAGCTCGAAGCCGCGCTCTTGCGCCCACAATCGGATGCCCTCCAGCGCAAGCGAGGCGTGGAAGAGGAGCGAGACGGCAGCGACGCGAGCGATGTTGGCGGGGCTGTCGCAACGAGAGATGACGCGTGCGAGAAGCTCAAGGGGCAGGTTGGTGAGGGGGCAGTGTGCGGCGGCGACGGCGGCGGCGGGGTGGACATCGCGAGAAAAGAATTTTACCCACGAAGAAAAAGAATTGCCAATGCGATTTTTGAAGGCAAACGGCGGCCCCCCCTGCTCCGCACTGGGCCGCTCGTGGTGGCCGCGTGTCGTCCTCCCATCCCTCCCTTGGGCTGTCTGGTTTCTTTCTTTCTTTAAGGGCCGCTCGTTCTCCAACGCGCGTATTTTCTTTCTTTCCCGTATCGCGTGAAAAAAGAATTTCTGTTTCCAACGAGAAGCTTCACTGCCTTCTCTCCCCGGGCTCCTGCGCCCCCTCGAGTGTCGCCGACCAGCGCGGCGAATGCCGAGCCCGGCCGCCGCATCAACCTTGTCCAGCGCGACTACGAGGCGCGGGCGGCGGCGCTCGATGCCAAGCCGCACGTGCAGGCATGGAACAACGGCTCGAGGGACGCCGTTTCCTCCGTGCTGCGCTCGTTTGGCACCGTGCGCAGCCTCGTTGTCGGGGCCTACGCGGAGGCGTCGGACGACCTGCACCAGCTGTTCGACTGTGTGGTGGAGTCGGCATCCAAGCAGCACTGGAGGCGGATCGGCGCGCGTAGCGCGAAGGAGGCGCGGTCCTACTTCGCTACGACGCTGCGGCGGGCGTGGGGCGTGCACTTTGCGCGCGAGTTCGCGCGGCACCGCATCCGACGCGTGGTGTTCGTGGGGGCCCCGCGGCGACAGCCGGGCAGGCCTCTCGCGACGGCCGATGGAGACTGGCCAGCGCTGTCGGCGGGCGAGTTTGCGGCGCACGCGCTGCGCGTAGGCGGCGCGTGGGCGGGCGGCCCGCCCGGCCGTCGGTGAGCACCGGACGCGAGGGTCGGTCGGCTCTTAACTAGCTGTATATAGTCGCGATCTGCCGGCGTGCGTATGAGCTCACTAGCTAGAGCTCACACTAGAGGCCGTCATCGCATTCGCCTTCCTGGGACCCAGCGCTGACTTCTGACTGTCGTTGCTGTCTTTCCCCCTTCTCGACTGTCTGTGCTTGTGCGTCTTGGGTCGGGAGTTGTGCGTTTATGTGAGAGACGCACGCCCCACCACCCCTAGAGCTCTACCACCATCACCGCATGTCGTGGCGGTTTGTGCGGCACGACCTGCTCGATCTGGCCGACGCGGGGACGATCTGGGTCGCCGGACCATGTGACGCGGCCCATGCGATGTTTTTCTGCGCCGGATTCCCGTGCGACCACTCCTCGTTTGCACCGCTCGCCGCACGCTTCGCCGAAGTTGGCTGCCTTGTCGGCGTCGGGTGCATGCCTGAGTATGACCGGGAAGAAGGATGCCTCCGACCAGAGGGCTACGATTTGCCGCAGATCGGTCGCTGCTTTGGCCAAGCCGTCGCTGCGCTCCTCGGGCAGGCCACGGCCGCACCAAAGGTCACGCTCGTGGTGCATGATTGGGGCATCGCACCCGGCTTCTTCCACTCGAATGTGGTCGGGTGCGACAAGCTGGTCGTGTTTGACGTGCTCCCCGTCAATCCGAAGGCTCCGCGCCCACACATCCCTCGCACAAACCATCAAGAAACGAGAAGAGAGACCACCATTTCCAAACAGCCTATCCGGATGGTGCTCCCCCCGCACGCGTGCCCCCCCGATGCAAACTAAACACACGGCTTAGGTCGACCCGCCCGACAGCGTCTACTACTCGCTATGCCACCTCAACTACCAGTCGATGTTCGCCACCTCGTTCCTCCTCTACCGCTACTCGAGGGCCCTCGGCTGGGCGTGGCTGCTAGGAGGTCAGGCGCTCTTCTTTGTCCTCCTCGGCAAGTGGCTCAACCCAGCCGGCCCGAAAGACGGCCACCGCGGCGGCAAGGGGCTTTGGTGGGTGTACGCCTCGGCCACGGGCGACCGCGCCAATGCCGTGGACAAGGAGAGCGGCGGCTCTCTCCCCATGACACCGTATCGGTGCGGCCAAACTCCACACACACTTCCTCTCTTGTCTCGCCCCCACGCCACAATACTCACGCCCGAAATCCCCCCCCCCCCCCCCCCCGCGCGCCCCGATCCGAGGTGCTACCCGTACTTCCACGCCCTCAAGACGCTCTTCCGCCCGGCGGAGGCGAAGGCACTGCAGCAGGGCCTCTCCTTCGACGCCTCCCTCGCCAAGCAGCCCATCTGCTACATCTACGGCGAGGAGAAGAACACCATGTTCCACACACGCGCGCAACTCGCTAAGCTGCGCGCCAAGGAGGGGTGCGTCGTGGTCGGCGTGCCGCGCGCGGGACACTGGTGCTACAAGCACGAGCCCGAGGCGTGCTACGCAGCGGTCAAGGTCTTCGTGCTCGGTGAGTGAGCAGTCAGTCCGGCCCGCGTGGTCTGCTAAATAAAAAGTGTAAACCCTGGATAATTTTGCACGAGCCCCCATGGGTCAAAAAGCTATAAGCGCTTCGCCACTTACGGCTCTACTTGGACCATGCCGCGCACACCCTCCTCTCAGACTCCGTGCGCAAGTTGCGACGCACGCCACTTGTGAGACCTCTGTACACAACGGCTGTGCCCACCGCCGCAGGCGAAGAAAATTTTGAGGCAACCCTAATGATGGCACGTTATGGCACGGCCGACTTAGCCCACATAACTCGTGTGTCTCGCGCCTTGCGAACTCATAAGATCCGCTCACGGGGTTGACCCGTCTCCTCCAGATCGAGACGGACTTCATGAACGGCCGAGCAATATTTCTTCTTCAACATTAATTGATGCTTGTTGTTGCACGGCTGAGCCCCCCCCCCCCCCCCCCTCCCCCCCGCGCCCATTCCCTGCCATCTCCCGCCACACACTCCGTCAGAGCCCCTCCCCTCTTGCACAACAGGAATTTTGACAATTAACCAGATACAACGTGATGGGCTTGCCCATCCCGGAGTGGTTCGACCCCACATAAACCCGAGACGGTGACGGGACGCTGTCGTACGATGATCTCAGGCCCAGTGAGGTAGTGCATCTGACTATCCCGGATCCTGCTGAACAAGTTCCTCTTCTCGATCGGTCACACCGCCATCGCCGTCGGGGAGAGGGGGGACGATACTGCGTCAGCAGCGTGCACCTCGATCCTGTACCGTGTTTGTGATGACCCCCCCCCAATGAACACACCAGTGAGGGAGGGCGAGACGATCGAGGGGTCCCGTACCACGCGGCGTCGACCGCTACTGTATCCAGTGCTCAAGTGCTCAAGACCGCCGATCTTTACTTATTAGACCACGGACGCGCGCGCGCGGTGGAGGCACAGATGGCATCGCCTTCGCACGTTGCTCACCCACGGATATTCCTGTCAGGCGGAGCGCACCGTGTGCTGAAAACGTCGACGAATAGGACAAGGCCGCTCGTGTACAACCGCGTGCCGAAGGCGGCGTCGACCAGCATGATCGTTGTGCTGCAGCGTCTCGCCAGGCGCAACCACTTCGGCGTCACCAGCGCGCCAGCCATGCAATACTGGCCGCGACTGACGGAACTCAGGGCACGCCTCGAGTCGCTGCGGCCAGACCACTGCTACATCAACCACTGCTCGACCCTCGATGACTCGCGACGGCAGTGGCTGTGGATCAACATTGTCCGAGAGCCACTGGCGCACTACGAGAGTCTGCACTACTGGGAACGCCGCGGCCTGCGAGAGCGGGCCCGACTCCAAAAGCGCGACCCTGTGTGCGGTTGCGCACACCTCGAGTTGGCGCCGTGCTTGAGCGTGCGGCTGCAGCGCAAGTGTCCGATCCGCTTGTGGCAGCAGCGCAACCTGTTCTGTGTGCCCGACGCCTCGTGGGCCGCGCATGAGAACGGGCCGCCACCGTGCAGCGTCGAGGAAGCACTGCAGATCGTGCAGCAGCAGTACCTCTTGGTGGGCCTGGCGGAGGAGTTCGACGTGACCCTGCGTGCTCTGGAGGCGCTGTTGCCACGATACTTTGCGGGCGCGAGCCAGATGCTGGCCGACGGCCCGATTGCCGCCAACGTTGGCTCCTCCAAGGCTGCGACGAGGTCGGCAGCCAAGAACCTGACTAGGCAGTACATTGAGCACGTGCTCGTGCACAACGCGACGAACTATGCGGGCGAGCGGCTCTTCTACGAGGGCGTGCGACGCGTCTTCCGCGAGAAGCTCGCGGAAGCAAGTTTACACAGTCGTGCTTTCCTTAGTTGAGAGCTTTCGTGAGCTGACTGCTTCAGACAGTAGCGGTAGGCTTCGCGTTTACGATTTGAGATGATTAGGGGGGGCGCGCGGCGGGAACATCGGACTCGCCCGCTACGGTCACACTTAGACCCGTTAAGCCTCGAGGCTCAGAACGTAGCCTAAGGGGTGTGGAGCCGGAGGGTGAGTTGCACAGGGGTTGTGGGCCGGGCCCTCCTGCTCGGCTCCAGCCCATAGGCAAGTCTTGTCATCAACAGAGTAGAAGGATCTGACCTCGGGGCCGATGTGACCAAGCGCTGGTAGCGTGGTTTTACCTCACACCCATGATCTCACAGTGTGCCGGCAGTCGCCGAGCAGTGTGTCGCTCACACAAGCCGCAGCACAAGTGACTGAGGGCCAGTGAGGGCGAGCCCATCCCTGTGCAGCCGCACAGTAGGCTGTGTCAACTGTGCAGAGCGTGTGAGCAGCAGAGGAGCTGCTCTCAAGGCTTCAGGCGCAAAGAGATGCATGCCACCGAAGGCGCTGTCGCGAGAGGTTCACACCGGCGCAGGGTAAGGGTTGGAGGACGCTGCTGACGACGAGCGTAGTAGAGCGCTGGTCAGAATCCGCTATGGCGGCGGCACGCACACGAGCTGCGGCCGTGCCGCCGTCAGAGCGGCGAGGCGCGGGACCGGAGAGAGGGATTGCACCTCAGTGCTCAGAGATCGACACTCAACGCCGACGACGACGCAACACGACGACACACACGCGTCGACAACACGACATGCAACACGACAACACGACGACGACAAACAACAAAAAACCGCTGGAAACGTTCTGCTACCCATCCCCTGAACTTGCGCCGCACGACTCGCTCACCCGCCGAGCCCCTCTCTCCCCTCCCTCCACGTCTCAATGACCTGTCTCAACGCGATGTTGCTGACGAGCGCCGTGCTCGCGAGCATCGCACCGGTAACGGGGCTGGGCGCGGAGGCGGCGAGCGGGTACCGCTCCGCATACGTCCGGAACCACATCTCAATCGCCTCGCGCTCGTAGGTGTGGCCTGCGCGGCAATGGCGAGGGCGTGTGGTGGCGGCGGCGTAAGGGTGAGAGCGCAGCGTCTCAGCCTCCTCCCAGCCTCTCTCTCCGCCCCTCTCTCTCGCGGCCGATCTCTCAACCGCGTCCAACACCTCACCGTCACATGCCGTCACCGGGTCGGTCATGACCTCTCCGAGCACGGGACACAGGTACTGCGGCGGCGCCGCGTCCGAACGCCTGGGGAGGCTCTTGCGGCGCCTGCGGCGCAAACAGAATGCGCATTGGTTTGAGGACTCAATTCAGCCACGCGTGCGAGCGCCCCGGGAGGCTTGCGCGGCGCCTGCGAGCCGCCCGCCGCGGCACCTGCGGGCATGTCGCGGGCATGTCGCGGACGTGTCATTGCCGCGGCTGAGGCGGCACTTATGCGAGGGGCGATCTCTCTCTCTCTCACCGAGGCGGCCGCTCCCCGGACGCCGGCTCGCACCCCGGCGGCGGCGCTGTGGGAAGCTTCCGAGACGCTGCCCACGAGCGATCGGCCGAGCTTGCGCAGCAGCTTCAGCCGACTCCGGCTGCCGGGCTTTACCGCCTCCGCCGCCGCCGCCGCCGCACTCTCTGCCTCTACTCTCGCCGCCTCTCTCGCCGCCTCGGCCTCGCCGGCACGGAACGCGGGCAGGGCTCTGGAGAGGTCGCAGCGCCACGTGTACGGCCCGACTCCAGCCGGCTCCTCCACCGCCGCCGCAAATGCCGCCGTCCGCGCGTGGGCCCGAGCGACCATCTCCTCTCCTGCTGCCGCCGCCCGCCGCGCCATCTGCTCACCCGCCGCGGCGATCCTGTTCGCCCGATCGTTGGCTGAGGGCTGAGCGCATAAAGCTGGTGCAGGCCATTGCAAGCCGTCCGCGGACGAAATCTTTGGGCCTGCACCAGCGGCGTCCATCTCCTCTCAGGACTGACCATTGCAAGCCCGTCCGAAAGGAAAAGAATCGCCTCTCGCACAGCACACAGGTTCGACAGTTACCAAAATGTTTGTTTCTCTTGGCACCTTGGAGTGCTGGGGGGGGCGACAGGAAGAATGTGGCCCTGAGTTATGTATACGCCAACTCAGGGTGTGTGGCAGCCAGCTGGCTGTGTGTCTTGTGAGCTTGTTTGTGTCTGTGTGTCGTTCGTGCGTGTCGTCATCATCTGTCTCGCGTCCACCCATACCGCGTTGGTGTCCAGTCCGAGCCTGGCTGTTCTTCACCTTTCTACCTACCTACCTACCAAAAGAGGCACAGCCTGCGACGGACCTTTAGAAGGCGCCGTCGTCCTCATGGAGGTGGGCACGATCGGGGGGACAGTCGAATTCGCGAGCACCGTAGTGCTCGCCAAAAGACCATCCCCATCATCCCAACACCCCCGGCGACCCCCTCGCCGCTTGCCCCGCCAGCGGGCACTGCGCGACCCACCCCCGCGCCCTCGACCGCGCCCCCCGCCAGGAGCATATCGCATCACCACCGCCCGATCCTCGTCGAAGAGCAGAATCTTTCCCGCCTTCACCAGCTCCTTCCACCCCTCCGTGTCCTGCAACGTCGTGGCGCCAGCCCATAGCTCCGGCCCTCCGTAAAGAAAAGAAAGCGCGAACGTTTACAAAAGAGAGGCGAAGAAATGTGTATTCGGGTACTCGAAATCGGTGTGAGTGGGAGAGGTGTGAGCGGGAGAGCTGTCCATGGCAACGGTCGCGACAGCAGAGGGACTTCGGCTGCACCTCTCGACGCAACGCGGCCGCTGCGGCCAGTACAAGGGCGTGTACGAGTACGGCGGCGCATACCGTGCGCAGTACAAGTTGAACGGAAGGGTTGTCTACATCGGGAGAAACTACGCCACGGCGGTGGAGGCGGCGGTGGCGTACGCTCGGACGGTCGGCGAGTATGAGCCGTCGACTCCGACGGTGGCGACAGAGGCGGAGGGGCTGCGGCTGCACGTTTCGCCCCGTAGGAGCACCGGCTACAAGGGCGTGATCAAGCAGGCCTCTGGCCGCTTCAGGGTGAAGACTCCGGCTGGAATTCACTTGGGCTATTGCGACACGGCGGTGGAGGCGGCGGTGGTGTACGCGCGGGCGGTTGCCGCGGCAGACGCGGCGCAGGCGCGGGCGGTTGCCGTGGCAGACGCGGCGCCGGCGGCACAGCCGGTAGAGGCGCCCCAGAAGCGGATGCGGGTGGCCTCAAGGCGGGCCGCCGAAGCGGCGGCACAGGCTAAGGCGGAGGCCGCTGCGGCGCAAGAACGGGCGGCGGATCGAACGCGGCAGCAGCAGGCGCGCACGACTCCCGCCTCCACCGCCGGCACCGGCGTCAAGCTCGAGGTGCCTCACCCGACGAGGAGCGCGGCGCGCTCGCAGGGCGGGGCCAGCGGCGGCGCGGCCACCTCCGTCCGCGGCACGCCCGCCTCCGCCTCCGTCAAGTGGGAGGCGCCCGATGACCAGCCAAGCGGCAAGTGGCAGCGGGGCGCGCCGCCCGCTGCCACTGCCACCAACCTCGAGGTGTTTAGTGGCGGCGAGGGCGAGGACGATGAGGTGGAGGTCACGGGCGGCTGCTCGCGCTCCGAAAAGGACGCCGCGGGTTGGGCTAACGCCATTGAGCTCGATGGTGTCTCGTAGCTCCGGCTCAGACACGCGCGTCACATGTGGCCAGCCTATGTTGTGGTGGTGGAAGCCAACAAAAGAAATTCGACGGCGGGCATGTTTCATCATGTGTGTAGGTAGGTAGGTAGTAAGGTGAAGAACAGCCAGGCTCGGACTGGACACCAACGCGGTATGGGTGGACGCTAGACAGATGATGACGACACGCACGAGCGACACACAGACACAAACAAGCTCACAAGACACACAGCCAGCTGGCTGCCACACACCCTGAGTCGGCGTACACATAACTCAGGGCCACATCCTCCCTGTCGCCCCCCCCAGCACTCCACGGTGCCAAGGGCACAAACAAGGGCACAACTCAAACAACAGACAACAGGAAGTGATATGCGAGGCTAGAGCAGGTTTGCTCTACCTCCAGCAATGTGTGTTACTCACGTTTCATCATCCCTCCCTTGGAGCTTGGTCGTCCGTTTTTCTCTTTTTATAAATGAACTCGGGGGCACGGAACGCGGCACCGTTGGTGTCATGCCGTCGTCCCTGGGCACTGGGCACTCCAGCGGATCTTCCCAAAAGTAGTCGCTTTCACATTCGTCGTGTCCGAGGCCGCGTCCGACGTGACTCCCGACGCTTAGTTCGACAGGTCTTTACGACATGGGCATCCTCGTTCTGCTTGCGTTCTACGCGACACCTGCCAGCAGTGCGCCTGGTGTCGGGCGCTGGGCGCCACTGCTGCGGGAGGGGCTCCTGTTCGGCAGCTACAAAGACCACCACACGCGGTCGGTCGGGCTGGAGCACCCCGTGGAGACCTTCCGCTTCGTACGCACGGAGGACGGCGGCGTCGCCACGGTCGGCAGCGGCAGCGGCCGCAACGAGTACTTTGTGCGCCCTGACGGGGTGCTGCAGCACGTGCATGCCGAGGGGATCACGGCGGAGCTGCGCGGGGAGGGCGAGGAAGCGGAGTTCGTGTGGAGCCACGGCTACAAGTCCGCGGCGTTCCCCAGCGACAAGCCGCCGAAGGTGGAGGTGACCGACTGCACGCTCGTCAAGGCGCACGCGGCCGAGTCCGTCAAACTCCTGCCCGAGGTGGCGCAGGCGCTGCGCGCGGGCCGGACCACGCCGCTGCTCCTCGCCTCGCCCCCCGGCTATGCGATCGTGCCCAAGACCGACGAGCCGCAGCGCATCGACGAGTGGGGCGTCAACTACCAGCAGCTCGGCATCGGGCCAGCGTCGGAGGCCCTGCAGGCGAAGATGCGCGGCAAGTTCCTCCTCTCGCAGCACCGCGCGACGCGCGACTACGTGCTCGACGTGCCCTTCGCGACGTACAAAGTGCACTGCGAGGGCGAGCACGGCAAGCTGCCGCTCGCCGTGATCAGCTGGGACGATCGCAGCCGGAACCTCGACGAAACCGCGCCGCGCACCTTCGTCGTGAACGCCGACAACTCGATCTCGCCGACGAAGGCGACCCACCTGGCCTTTGGCATCCGCGGAGCCCTGCCGGCGGTGGGCGCGCAGATGGCCGAGCTGAAGATGCAGGCGGGTGGCAAGCCCACCGTTGAAGATGCCGATCTTGATGTTGGATCGACGCCCTCGCACGGCAACCCGCCCTCCACCAACGACCTCAACTCTGAATTGAACAACGTTGCCCGGAACACCGACGACACGGCCAGGGCGCGCGCTCTGGTCAAGGCGGGCGCGGATCTTCGCTCGACCAACGGTCCGACGTGGCGCCACACGCCTCTGCACCAGGCGGCCTACCACGGTCGGTATGAGATGGCCAAGACCCTCGTTGAGCTCGGCGCTCCGCTGGACCTGCACTCGAATCCGTGTGGGCGTGGTGCGACGGGAACGCCGCTCGAGCTCGCCCGCGGAGGTGGCCACCACCAGATTGCTGACATGCTCGAGAAGGCCGCTAGCGGCAAGCAGGGCCGAGTAGTCCGTCTCTTCAGCAATCTTCTTCAGCGTATCAATCCTCGTGTGGCTCAGCTGGCTCCCCCGGTCAAGACCGGCTCTGTTGAGGGCCGCTGGGAGTTCTACCAGAACATCGATATGGCCTACCAGGGCGACGTTGAGATCATCGACGACTGGCGCTCCCACACGAGCATTGATGAGCTGAAGACGATTGTGGAGGAGAAGGGCTACTCGGCCATAAGCGTCGGCTCCTTTGGCTTCGCCGCCCTCAAGTCCTTCGACTACCAGTTGACGAAGGAGCACTGCAAGCCGTCGCACGGCTACACGAACGAGCTCCACATCTGGTTCCCGAGCGTAAGAGGTAGTAGACCCTTACCGAGCAGCGAGGCTGCCAAGTCGCCGAACGTGCCGGCGGGCTTCCACTTCCACGAAGGCTTCGGAGAGGCGACGCGCGGCGACCAAATCGGCCACATCACCTCCGGCGGCGTCGAGGGCCACTGCTTCAAGGGCGATAAGCTGAGATGGCCGCTCCAGTGGGCGGCCATGATTGGTGACGTCGAGGCCATCGACGCACTCATCGCCGCGGGCCACGACCCGAACGTCAAGATGAGCGACTGGTACGACTCGGAGCCGCTGGGCTGGGCGGCATCCTTTGGGCAGTGCAAGGCGATCGAGGCGCTCTGCGCGCACGGCGCGGACCCCGGCCGCTCCGCCAACTTGGCGGGCTACACGCCGCTGTCGGACGCGCAGCGCGAGGGCCACACGAAGGCAATTGCGCTCCTCAACGAGTACCTCTCGGGGTCGCGTACGATCGGGCCCCACGAGCCAGAGTTTGCCGACAAGCCCGTGGTCACCGGCAAGCCCGTGACAAGCCGCACCTCCCCCCTCGATCCGCCCGCGGCGGACTGGGACAGCCCAATCGAGCTCACAGTCCACTCCAACCACGCGATGCACGGAAATGGGCCCATCCAGCATATTCTCCAGTACGATACAGGCAGCTTTGCCAACTTTGATGCAGGCACACGACCGTGGTGGGTGATCTTCGACGCCGGCAAGCCGCAAGCCGTCGGCGGCGTCGAGATGGCCGCCTTTGTAGCCGAAGAGAGCCCAAAGGTCGTCGAACTGCTCGCTTCTGACGACCTCGCCCGCTGGGACCTGATCGCCACTCTGAGCACCCCCGCACCGTGGGGCACGGACGCGGGGCCCAAGCAGTGGCCAATCGACAAGCCGCACGTCGCGCGCTACTGGAAGATCAACGTGACCGATACGCACAATGGGGTTGCACCTACCATCCACTACTGCCGACTGGTGGCGCCGTCACAGATGAAGTCGCTGCCGATCGAGGGCGTGTGGCTGCCGAGCCCGGTCACCGCACACAGCCTAGTGCTCACGGGCGTGGCCTGCTTCCTGACCGGCTGGCTCGCCGCCCGCCACACCTACCGCACCTAGACCGCGCGGCGGCACTTGTTATTGTTCCAAAAGACTAGTATGTTCCATCATAGTATATTTAAATGGCGGGACGCGGCACCCTTGGGTGTTCATGCCGTCGTCCCTGCGCCCTTGACACTCCCAGTGGATCCGCTTCCCAAAAAAGTACTAAGTCGTAGTCGCTGTCGTCGTGTCGACGGTGCGGGGCCTAACAAAAAAGAAAATAGTGGGTCCTGCGGCCAACAGACCAGATCTTGGTCGACATGAACTCCGCTGGCATCAACCACGAGCAGCTACGCACCGCGTGGCCCGTCTACTCTGCCTTCTCTGGCTCTCTCGAGCCGGTCGACCCCGCGGGCGTGGAGGTGCTCCGCTCCGTCTATGTGGCCAACTGGCTCGCTGACGCCGCGATGCTCGAGGAGGCGGACGACGACTCTGGCCGCGATCTCACATTTCGAGGCTCCGCCGTGAGCCACATCGTGCTTACTCCGCCGCTGGCGCCGCATCAGCTCCTCGCGCTCATTGCTGCGGCGTGGAGCGCCGACCGTTGGTACTCGCTGGTCGAGAGCGATGGTGTGCCGACGCACTGTCCCCGAGTAGCCCCGCCTTGGCGGCACACACTCTCGACCAGGACAGTCCGGCCTACGGGAACGTGTCGCGCGCCGGCGACGGTTGCGGCGTGGTGTTTTCGAGTACGACGCGAAGATGGCACGACCACCGCCCTGCATTGCAAACCGGGCAAGGAGGGGCCCGCTCCCGTTCCGCGAGGAACAGGAGGTCTCCCCCCCTCCCCCGGCCTGAGCAGCCACGGTGGAAGGCAGCCCCTTGAGTCGAGGGCGGCGCGACCATTGCCCTGCTCGCAGCGGCCAGAGACCGAGGTCAGTGCAGATGGTCGCGCCGCCCCGCTCCGCCCCGCCCACCGCCGCGCCGCGCCGCCGCCCGATGATTATTAAGTAATAATTAATTAAGAAATAATTAATTACCCCACCCATTAATACATAATACTTAATACTCGATCATTAATAATGTTGCGTGTGCGTGTGCGTGTGTGTGTGTGTGTGTGTGTGTGTGTGTGTGTGTGTGTGTGTGTGTGTGTGTGTGTGTGTGTGTGTGTGTGTGTGTGTGTGTTTGTGTCTCACGTCACTGCATCCTCTGCCGGTTCCTCCCGTCGCCTCTTCTTTGTTCGAATGTTTTTCAATCCATCCTTCACGGCGAGGGGGTTCGCCGTGGGGCGTGGGTGCGTCGGGCGGGTCCAGCAGTGACCAGTGTGGCAGCCGCAATGCTCTGCGCGACGGACCGGCTGCGCTGAAGTGTGAAGAGGTGCAGTGTGAAGAGCTGTGAGAGGGGTCAACGACCCGAGCACGTGGACGATCGTGCACTTAAAAAGCACATCGCGCCTCTGTGAGTGGGCATTCATGGGGATCACAAACATTCAATCAAGCGGCAGCCTTTCCTCCTGTCGGCGAGCAGACCCGAGGCTCCGGGCTGCTGTGACTATCGCAAATCGTGGTTTATTCGCAGGTCGCGCTCGCCGACCAATGTTCATACCTGATCGTGTTCGACCGCACTATCCACTGGTTTAATGGAGCTCCCACAGATTACCTAGAGAGCACGGTATTCCCGGGCCATGATGTCGGTTCCCCACCGGACTTTTTTGTAGGGGAGAGAATTAAGGAATCTTTCTGCTGTAACCGACACTGATATCGCTCTCCTTTACTCAGACCAGATGGTGAGTCTTAACTGTAAATTACCGTCGGAAAGCTGTCAGAACGGCTGTCAGAACACTCACCTAGACCCCCGCGACGCCTATTGCTCACGGAACCCGCCGCCCCCTCACCACCCCTACCATGCGATGCGCCCTCGCTCGCGGCGCGAGCGGCTGTACCCCCCTCGGCCTCGCACCGCCTGCCTACTCCCGCTCGCAGGTACAGCCGCTGCCATGGAGGAGGCCGCGAGACGCGTGCGCTGCTGCATCATGTTCTTCCTGCTCGCCCTCGCGGGCGCCCACGCCGCAGCAAAGGGGCAATTTCCCGAGTGGCGCTTTCAGGGACGTGATGTGGTGGTGAAGATCCCGAGTTTCCACGAGCCTCAATCGGCCGCGTGCGAAGCCGCTGCCGCTGCTGCCGCCGCCAAGAACTCCTCTCCCGCACCGGTCCTCATCATCGACGATGGTGGTTTTGCACGTCCGATTCTGTCGGCAATCATTTGCCACTATACTTCACCCTTCGAGCCTTGGCCTTGCTGCATGGCATCGGATTCCAAATGCGGCCGACGTGTGGCCCTATCATCCGGGACACGCCCAACCACATCATCGGTTGGATGGTTGCCTCAAAGTGCTTCATTCTCCGAACTGCCGCCCGAGGTCCCTGCCATGTGTAACACTCAAGTGTGTCAAGTCTCAAGACGTGGGAGGCGATTCCGATGGCAGCACTGCACCGCGGCGTCCGCAGAAGAAAACGACCGGATCACGGCGTCTGACCTCGGCGCGCACACCCGGCATGATGTCGCTGGTGCTTGGGGTGCTCGCCGCGCCACATACACACCGCTTTGACAGCGCTCAGCAGCCGCACCCAGAGCAGCAAACCTGGTCAAGGATTCCGGGCCAGCTCCCAGTTGCTCCGACCGACAGCGAGATTTACACGTCGAGCGCCTTTGAGCGAGCGTGGACGGGTGGCGCGGTCGCCAAAGAGGTCGCCGGCCGTAGAGTTTCAATTGGGGTCCGATCTTGGACTTAGGACTTAAGCTTGCTTACTGCGACTAGGCCGGCGGCCCTGGGCTGTGCAAGCTGGCGTGGTCGCAGCGAGCTAACGCAGCGGAGTGGGCGGCGTGGGTCGCGAACGCAACACACCCACGCGGACAAAGCGTGGAGCGACCTCCGCCCAACATCGCTCGTCACCTCTCCAGGTTCAGGCGCCGACGCTCCGGGCTAATCGAACCGTTGACCGGTATGGCCAGACACCCGCTTGCGTTTCAAAGTGTGTGCCAGAGCTCGTTGCCACTCTCAAGGGCCGAGACGGCGGAGCTTCAGTCGTTGGGTGGAGGGCTCGTGCATCCGGCTCCACCCAACAAGGCATTGTTCAACATCGACTACATCCTGGTCGAGAACCAGTGCGACAAGGCTGACAAGGCCGGCAAGCCAAAGCGGGGCCGAAACAAGTTCTTCGATCTCGGGTGCACGACATACGGCGACTGGGACGGCGATCCGAGCCGACCTCTGGAGGCATCGGGGAGCGGCCCGTCCATCCCGCTCTTCTTCTCCTGGTATCGCGAGAACTGCGTGGAGTTCGACGACATATACGCATGGGAGGGGGCTTATCACCGTCCGGCGGCCTGGTGGCGTCACGTCCCGCCGTTCCTCCGGCCAAGGCGCGCCCTCGCTGCCCTCTTCCCGGCAACACTTCCTGCCTCCGAATCGAAACCTCACAACATCCTCTCACACCCTCACCTGCGCGTGTGCCCAGGATCCGATTCTACAACCACTACATCGAAGAGGCCGACTTGAACACGAGCCAGTTTGGGCCGGCCGGTGCAGCGCCGGACACTAGCTTCCTAAAGGTCTTGCCGCACGCAGCGACCAAGGAAGATTTTGTGTCGGTCAAGCTCGACATCGACGGAGGCCCTGAGCTGGAGATCGCCTACGGCATCGCCAGTCGCCCAGAGCTGGCCGAGCTTGTGGACGAGCTCTTCTTTGAATATCACTTTCAATTCGACGGGAATACTTTTGGCTGGAAAGCGGAGTCAGTCGCGCACGCGGCTGTTGACGAGGCGATCAAGCTCATGCATCACCTCCGGTCGCTTGGAATCAGGAGCCACTTCTGGATCTAGGAAGGGGGGGGGGGGGGGCACGCGGGCTGCGCGCGCGCGCACACACACACACACCGCTCACCCACGCCCGTCCTCTCTGTGAGAATTCGGGTCTCGCCTCGATCTTGCTGAGAGACTCGACGAGTGGGTTAAGGAGGTTAAGGAGGTTTGTTGACCCCGGCACAATCAACAATCATTAATAGAAATAGAAGGAACCTGCAAATGTCGCATGATCATCACGCATTTTTGCACCCACATGGTTGGCCGTTATTTGCCGCCGTTTGGCGTCGCGAGATCCGAGCCGCAGCCGAGCGCTATTCCTATTCGGTAAATTCGGTTGCACACACAAGGCTCAAGGGGGTGTTGGCAAGCAGCGGCTCAAAGACACGCACACACACATTCATTTGGGGCCTGGAGCCCATGGCCCATGGTTACTGCGCTCCGTCCCGTTTGTCGGTTGGGCGCGGGGGGGACACGGACAGGCTGCAACAGGCGGCATCTTCGCATCGGTTTCGAAGGCTCTTTGCCTCTGAGGCAGCGTTCGAGTCTACAGTCACTGCCCAAACAATATGGCCACCACGTCCGGGGGGCAGCCGCCTTGTTCACGCGCGCGCGAGACGTGCAGACAGGGGGTAGCCTCGAGGGGTAGCCAGGTGAGAGCGAATGCATGGCGCGGTTCACGCCTCGTAGAGCAGAGAGAGAGAGAGAGAGAGAGAGAGAGAGAGAGAGAGAGAGAGAGAGAGAGAGAGAGAGAGAGAGAGAGAGAGAGAGAGATGCGCATATAACAAAAGAGAGCGAGTACTTTGGACGAGTAGGCGGTGCGGTCAACGCTGCCGCGGCCGCGCGCGAGCCGACTTTGCGCGAGCCGCCGCGCAGCTTGAGAACGGCGGTGGGCGAGAAGCCGCCGCCGAACACGTCTCGTGGAGCAGCAGGTTGAAGTTGTTGCGCTTGACAAAGATCGCGTCGTGGTAGAAACCGCGATGCGCCTTGACGTAGCCGTGGCCGTTCTTGTGGGAGAAGGGTTGGCCGGGCTGCCCGCGCGCCTTGCTGCCCATGTTTAGGCGGCGGGCTGGCAGCAGCTTGTGGGGGAAGCAAGTTGTGTTTGTTGTTGCTTCTGCGGCAGAGAGAGATTTTTAAGAACCAACATGCCACGAGAATTCTAGCACGGGCCTCTGGCGGCAGAGGGGTTGTATCGGCGAGTTGGCGGTGCCAAGGCGAGAGAGCAGGGCAGCGAGGGACTACTCCTCTTGGTCCCCTGCTTAATCCGAGCTTATCTCACGGCCATCGCAGAGCAGATTGTGATGTGAATGGGCTTGCCTGCGACGGGGGCGCGCGGTCTAGTGCACGGAGCTAAGTGCCTCGCCGTCCTCGCAGGAGTCGCTTAGTTAGGCGGCTCCCGTGGTGCGCCAGTCCCGTGCCTAGTGTTGTGCGAGGGAGTTTTGTTGTACAATTCTTTTCTTTGCGGTGTCCCATTCCCAGGGTGGGAGGATTGGGTGAGGGAGGGACGGGTGCTCCTCTTTGAGGGGGACCTAGAGGCGGTGCGGCGCGGCCCGGCCCGCGGCGCTGGCGGGGGGGGCGGGGGGTCCCACAGCAAGCGCCGACTGGAGGCGCGGCGGGGGCGACGGGGGGGGGGGAGGGGGGAGGGAGAGAGATTTTTATTAACAAGAGAGAGTGGGAGGACGAGGGGGATGGTCTTTTCGGCGAGCACCACGGTGCTCGCGGATTCGACCATCCGCCTGACTACCATTCCGACGACGCCTTCTGTGAGGAGGACGGCATCTGTGAGGGCGACGGCTTCTAAGCCGTCGCCTTTGCAGTGCCAGTCCCGTACCCGGTGTCGTTATAAAATGAACTCGGGACCCGGTGTCGTGCGAGGGAGTTTCGTTGTAAAATCTAAATAAATAAATAAATACAACGGACACGCCAAACGAGGGGTGGGAGAAGGACAGGGTCCCCACCTGCACAAGCAGGATCTTGTAGGACGATCAGGGACACAGGGGAACGGGAGCGGGGAGCGCATCGCGACACGGAGGGGGGCTGGGCAGGGGGTTCACCCTCACGACAGGAATCCCATCTCTCGTATAGTAAAATCTTTTCTCGAGGGAGCCGATTGTAAAATTCTTTTCTCCCTCAAAACACTCGTGAGACGCCTTCTCGGGCCTTGCGCGTCTCTCTCACAACGCGGTCGGCTACCTCAACCTGCGCCTGCCTTGCGTCCATGGCGGAGACGAGCAGCAGCCCGACGGCCTCCACCAAGGGCCAAATCTTCCTCCATTCCGCCAGGGCTCGGGCTCGTTTTCTCGGACGGAGCACTGCCGACGTCAAGGCGAGAGCGCAAGCGCACGAGAGGCGTGGTTAGGGGTCCGATCTTGGAATAAGGTTGCGTACTGCTAGGCGATCAAGCGCACCCGTCAGGGCATCGCAAAGGGGCTCGAGGCGCCCTCGCCGCGTACCCGTCGCCTCAGCCACACCACCTCCGCCCCACCGCCGCCCTTCGCCGTCGTGAGAGTTCACGAAGAGTCGATCACTCCTCCCAGGTGCAAGGCATCATCTCTGCTCTCATGCTCTCCGTCGCCGGAAGTGGGTTCTTCGCGGAGCCGGACCTGAACGGGGGTTTCTGCAAGACGGTGGCGACTATCAGTTTCTGCTTCTCCCTCTTCTCCTTCATCTCGGCGGCAATCATGTCGGGCGCCTTTCTGATTCCAATCCTCGATGATGAGCTGCACCCGCGGGATACGGTGCATGCCTTCGGCCGCCTCTTCATCCTGCCGCAGGTCTACTTCTGCAGCGGTTACGTTAGCTTGGTCGTCGGGGCGACGGCTTACTTCCTTGCGATGAGCATCGGCACGATGCACACCGGAGGCTCTCAGACTTTGTCGAGCGCCGCGCGGATGCTGCGCCCGTAAGCAATACCACATATAGACCACGTCTGTAGGCTGCTTGGCCGTGTGCGTCGCCCTCTTCATGTTACCGACCTTCTTCGTCCTCTTCAACATCCCCAGCATCTCCAGGCCGCATCACCCGATCGCACGCGAGGGCGAGTTCAAGACCCTCGGCGAGCTGGAACGTGCCTCGTCACAATCGCCACGATCCTCGCTCGACCAAGCAAGCTACAGCTCTAGCAAGTCCCTGCTGAACGGCTGGAGGTCGGCCACCGTTACGACCCTCTGACTCGCGTATCTCCGTCCATTTGTACGCGCTCCGCATCACGACACACCATGGTGGAGATGTGGAGGGGGGATGCGGCCGCTGATGGTGATGCGGCCCGCTGCTGGATGTTTTTCACTAGACGACCCCAGTTTTTGTTTCCGCATGTGAGGGGTTCGTGTGTGCATGCTGCGTTTTGTTCGGTGTTTGATTGTGTTTCATTTTGCGCTGGTGTCCTGGTGTCCCGTGTCCGGCGGGGGGGGGGGGGGCACGTGCGGAGCTGCGCCTGCGGGCGTTGTTTTGTGTGCAAATTTCGATAGCGTGGGTAACAGCGACTCTGACCCAACACTAATCTCCGTGTTCGCGCATGTCAGAGCCTCGTGCAGCCCTCAGACATCGTCCGCGTCTCGCGCTTGGGTCCGTCTGCCCCCCGCCGCTCCCGGACGTCCGCGCCTGCGTCTCCCTCACGCCTCAGACATGCGTGCTGTGCCTTCCTCCCTAGCGCCCGCCCCCAGCCAAGCCCTGCCTCACAGCTGCTCGGACAGCTGCAGCTCGGCTGGGGTTGGCTGGTTGCGCAGCTCCTCATTCTCGTAGCCCAAAGCGTCGAGCTTTTTTTGGCGGGCAAGCTGTGAAGGTAGTCTCCCATCCCCAGGGCCTCCAGGGCTCGCACCTCAACCTCTCACAGACCAGCGCACAGCGCCATAGGACGTATTCTCTTCTATATCAAGGCTGTGGAGCGCCGACGTATTTTCTTGAGCTTAGCCTTCGATGTTATGAAACAAACGCAAGGCGGACATGGCATATCGCTCTCGGGCCCACAGACATCCCGCACACCCGCCGCCCCCGCGCGCGCCCCACCCCGGCCGGGAGAAAGGGGAGTGACAGTTTGGGACGGCGACAGCCCGAGTATGTTGAGTCCTGGCTCAACAACGCAGGTTTCAAGAGGGGGTGGTCCGGCTCACAAGTCCGGCTCACGCGCCTCGAGCTGACCATCTACCGCACTGAGCACTTCCGCCCCCTCGCTCCCAACCCACCCACCTCGCCTCGGGCCGCGCCGCGCAATCTCGGGCGATCTCGCGCGATCTCGGGCGATCTCGGAGCTCCACGCCACGCCTCTCCACCCCACCCCACCTCACCCACCGCCGCGCCGCGCTATCTCGGGCGATCTCGGAGCGTCGCTCGCGCGGCGTCACACCTGCTCAAAAAGGAAGGAGGTTGGAGGCAGGAGGTCACGCCCCATCCAGAGCGCCGTCGTCGCCGGGTTTTTGGCCCCCGGGTCGTCGCCCGACGGTTGCTGCGCGGGGCAGCAGACCAATTTTCTTCTCAATAACAAGGCTGTGAAACGACCGGAACGTAACAAACGCGCGTTGGATTGCCTGCGCGCGCGAGGGCGCTACGAGCCACAGAGGCGAGCGCGGCGCGCAATGGAGCGACGAGACAGCGGCGACTTTTCGGACGAGGACGGGTCGGGAACGTTCAACGAGCGGCGGGCTGTGGACGACGACGACTTTGACGACTTTGACGGCGACCATGTGGGTCACGGCGGCGATGGCGTCATTCAGAACCAGCCGTTTGATGAGGCGCGCCGGCATAGGAGCGCCATTCCTTCAAGCGCATGAGCTCATGTCTCTCTTTTGTGCTTCAAGGCGGTCGATCTCTCCGACAACGGGTCGGAGCACCCATCGCCTGTGGCTGGCGCGGGAGCAGCGCGGCCTCGAGCGAGTGGCAGCGGCAGCTGTGCGCCCACCTCTGCAATGATGCAGTCCTCGGGAACCATCTCCAACCGCCCGCACGACGAGGAGTACGACGTGGAGTCGGAAGCGAGCGTCGACGACCCCGAATCGGCACGCCGACGATGCCGCATTGAGCACGCGATGGAGCCACACGTCGCCTCACGCAAGCACGGGAGAGTGGCTCTGCGGCCCGCCGTCAGGAGTGGTGTCCCCGCGTCGAGTAGGTGCGCGACGACAGGCCTCCGTCATGGGCGGCGCAGCAGCAGCGAGCGGAGGCACCGCGGTATGAGCGGCGACCCGAGGCACCCACCCTCGCGACGGTGGAGCAGCCAGAGATTGGCGAGATGGCCTCCTCGCCGGGGGGCGGGTTGAGCTCGGCCGTGCACCGAGACTTTGCCGCGGGCACGTCGGCTGCGGAGCACGCGGGTATGTTTGAGGAGGGCATGTACGACCCGGCAGAGTACGCCGACCTCGACGTCTCCCAGGAGATAGCGGAAATGTTCGGGTACATTACGAGGTACAAGCCGCACCAGATCGAGCTCGAGACAAAGATGCGCCCCTTCATCACCGACTACATCCCCGCAGTGGGCGAGATCGACCCCTTCGTCAAGGTCCCTCGGCCTGACAACAAGCCCGACACCCTCGGGCTCACGGTGCTCGACGAGCCGGCGCCGACGCAGAGCGACCCGACGGTGCTCACGCTGCAGCTGCGAGCGACGACAAAGTCGTCCGGCGTGCAACCGATGCTGGTGCGCTCGATCGAGCACGCCGACAAGAACGCGCGGCAGATCAACTCGTGGGTCGCGAGCATCAACGATTTGCATCGCCACAAGCCCGCGCCCTCGGTCCGCTACTCAAAGCCGATGCCGGACATCGAGTCGCTCATGCAGATCTGGCCGGCCAAGTTCGAGGAGCTTCTCGAGACGGCGCGGCTGCCGGACGCGGAGCTGTCGCTCGAGCTCGCCGACTTGGTTCGAGCTATGTGCGCTATCCTCGACATCCCGGTGTACTCCTCGCTGACGGAGTCGCTGCACGTGCTCTTCACGCTCTACTCGGAATTCAAGGCGAACGTGCACTTCCAGAATCAGCTCGAGGGCTTGCCCGACGACGGGGCGGACGGCGGCGTTTGGGGTCCAATGTGATTCGCTACTCAGCACGTTTGCGCATGTGTTGTCCTCCTTGGTAGTTATTTTAGGAGCTGGTTCAGAAAGGGCACGCGCGTTCTGACTTCTGTGTGTCCAAATTCGTCGTTTTGAGGTGCGTGCCCCACGTCTGGCCCACGACCCCGTCGTCACGAGCGGACCATGTCGACGTCCTGCCGCGCGCGTCCGTGGCTGCTTTAGTACGTATACATATGATTATGAATCATGAAAGAAGCATATCGAGCAATACACACATGCATGCGCCGAAAAATACAGACAGCTACGTCCTGACATGTGACAAGAGTCACACTGGCAGACACACGAAGCCGGGACAGGTAACTAAAGCCCCTCATCCAATGATAAAAACTGAACCGCGCACACTCAGGGTCTCAGGTCGAGCCAAACTCCTTGAGCCACTCCTCGAACCGGCCGAGGTCGCTCTCGCTCACCGTCTTGTTGATGCGCAGCAGCGACTGCTCGATGTCGTCCTGGCAGAGCGGCGTGTCTGTGTCCTCGCGCTTGAGCCTGCGGATCTCGTCGTGCCGCAGCCCCTTGATGGCGCGCCGCATCGGCATCATCGCCGCCTCGCGGCAGAGGTTCGTCACCTGTCGAGCGAGCAGGGGGTGGGGCACGGGCGAGGCACTCGCGCCAACGCGCGCTCGCGGCAGAGGCCGTCGGCGGGGCGAGATGGAGCCGAGATGGAGCCGAGATGTAGCCGAGATGCAGCCGAGATGCAGCCGGCTCACGTCGGCGGGCGAGAAGCCGGCGAGTCGCTCGGCCAGCGCGTCGAGGCAAACTGAGGCGTCGAGCTGCACGTCCTTGAGGTTGATGCCTACCCAGTCAAGACGCGGAGCGGCGGTGCCGCGTCGAGCCAGCACCTGCCTGACTGCGTTGCCCTCACAGCGACGCGCCGAGGAGCGTGCGGATGTCGGCTGGCTCGGGGAGCGGGATGTAGATGCGCTTCTCGAGCCGCCGCCGCAACGCCTCGTCGAGGTCCCGCGCCGAGATAGAGCCGAGATACAGCCGAGAGACAGCCGAGGTACAGCCGAGGTACAGCCGAGATGCAGCCGAGGTACAGCCAAGGTACAGCCGAGGTACAGCCGAGATACGCGCCTCGTCGAGGTCCCACGGGAAGTTGGAGGCGGCGAGCACCTGAGAGGTTCCACGCAAGTTCCGAGAAGCTTCCCAGCAAGTTCCGAGAAGGGTGCCGCAGCGAGCACCATCACATTCTTGCACTCGCCGTCCTCGGCGCCGCCGCCGCCCACGCCGTCCATCTGGACGCGCAGAGGGCCAGCATCAGACTCCGGTGATCTGAATCATCCGCGTGATCTGCCGAGATGTGCCGAGGTGTGCCGAGGTGTGCCGAGATGTGCCGAGGTGTGCCGAGGTGTGCCGAGATGTGCCGAGGTCTGCCGAGCCCAGCGCCTGCACGAGCAGCTCCGACTTGACGCGGCGCGACGCCTCGTGCTCGCCTGGCGGACATGTCTCGGACACGTCGTGGACGTGCCCCGGACGCGCCCTGGCGGCGCGCCGCCGTGCTCGCCCGTTGAGCCCCGCTGCGAGGCGAGCGAGTCGACCTCGTCGATGAAGATGGTGGACGGTGCGTAGAAGCGCGCCTGGGCGGAGGGGCAGGCCGCCGTGAGGCGAGGGGAAGACAGGCGAGGAAGCGAGTAGAAAGGCTCCGGTCCCTCCTCCACCTCTTCGTTACCTCGGCTCGATCTCGGCTCCATCTCGGCTCCATCTCGCCATCTCGAAGAGGAGCCGCACCATCCGCTCCGCGTCGCCGCGGTACTTGGAGCCGAGTGTGGAGGAGGTGACCGAGAAGAAGGTGGTGCCGCACTCGGTCGCCAGCGCCTGGAGGAGCTCGCCAGCTCATTGGCCGACGGGGGGAGAGGGCAGCGGTGCCGCGCTCGGCTTCGCCAGCGCCTTAGCGAGCAGCGTCTTGCCGGTCCCTCACTTGGCTATCAACTAACTCCTTATTGGTGCAATTGGCCGCGAGCGCCTTTGCGAGCAGCGTCTTGCCGGTGCCGGGAGGGCCAAACATGAGCACGCCTGTTCACACCCACAGCCGTGAGGAGACGCCGTTCACGGCCTAGGCGTCGGGGAGGGCGGGCGATGGAGAAGGCCCTTCCACGGCCTCCGTATGCCCTGGAAGTAGTCCGGCATCAGCTGAGGCAGCACCACCGCCTCCTCGAGCACGCGCTTCGCCTAGCCAACTCGTCGGCCGGTCCACCGAGAGCGGCCTCACCACTCAAGCCTAGTGACTTGCACGCTCTTCGCCTCCTCGAGGCCGGCGATGTCGCCTAACCAACTCACCAGCAGTCACGCACACGGCTCGTCAGCGCCTCGCCTCCTCGAGGCCGCGATGTCGCCCCAGTGCACGGACGGCCTCCGCTCGAGGATGTCGCGCTCGATCATGCTCGCCAGCTCCGCGTCCGCCGCACAAACCTCATCCACAAACCGCCGCGCCCCTCTCCCCCCGCCTCTGTCCGCCTTTGGACGCGGAGGCACGGGAGGCTTGCGCTCGCCGCGCCGCCGGCCTCCCGCTGGCGGAGCATCGGCGGCGGCCGCCGCGCGGTAGCCCGCCGCCGCCGCCCGAGCGCCACGCGCTGCGCCGGGCCCGTGCTGTGGCGCCGCCGCCGCCGCCGCCGCCGCCGCCGCCGCCTGCTGCGGATCGCGCCTCGCCCAGTCGGGCGGCGCGGCGCGGCGCGGCGGAGGAGGGTACCGCTCCGGAGGAGGCTTTGGCGGCGACCACACGTCCGGGTCACGCTGCTGCGCCGCGCCGCTCGGGCCGCCGACGACCGCGACGGGGTCCGGCCGGAGCAACAGCTGCGACGGCGGCGGCGCCGCGGCCGTCGGAGGCGGGACCGCCTTGCTGCCGGCGCGGAGCTTTGAGAGCTCGGCCACGATCTCCTTGACAATCTGGAACTCGCCCGAGAGGTCCTCCTTCGCCCGCAGCCACTTTGCACGCAGCGCCGGGTCGTCGAGCGTCCGCAGGTAGCGCTGCACCTGCGAGATGGCGCCGTCAAAGTGTACGAGCGACGCCTCGTAGTTGCCCAGAAGCGCGCTCTCGCGCGAGACTTGCAGCTGGTGCTCCAAGCCGACGAGGTGCTGCGGCGCCGCCATCTCTCAACCGAATCCTCGGGTGGCGGCGGGAGCACCAGCGGCGAACAGGCGAGCGCCGAGCGACCCCAGAGCGCGGCCAAGCCGTTGGAGAAAAGAATTCTAAGCCGTTTGCCCCAATTTTAAGCCTCTCTCACAGCCCACTGGCACGACAAGCGCGGACTCACACACACCGGCTCACCATGGAAAAAAATTTTGGTTACGAGCTCGCGGCGCGGCGTGTCGGCGCGACGTGCGCTCGTGTCGCCGCGTTCGCTCCGCGAAGGACGATTCGAACCGGAGCCAGTCGGCGCGGCGGCGGCGCGCGGCGGCAAAAGGCGCGGCGCTTGCTTCCTTGAGATGCTGCTGGTGTTGGCACCTCCTGATATAATGCTAAGCGGGGCGGAGGCACGCGGGTGGCGGAGGCGGCGGCGGACGACGTCTACTACCTGGCCGTCCCCTGTGGTAGCTTAGCGATCAGGGAGGATCTACCTGTTCGGCCTCGAGGAAGCTGCTGAGGGAGAGAGGGGGGGAGAGAGGAGAGGAGGAGAGGGGAGGAGATGAGAAGAGGAGAGGAGAGGAGAGGAGAGAGGAGGAGAGAGGAGAGAGGAGGGGGGGGGAGAGGAGAGAAGAGGGGGGAGGCGCAGGGAGGGAGGGAGGGAGAGAGAGGGCGGAGCGAGCAGAGAGAGTCTCAGGGGAGAGAGAGGGAGAGAGTTGAGAGAGTGGAGAGGGAGGAGAGAGAGAGGGCTAACCTCGGAATGTAAGCGCACTATGGCTGTGCTGTCTCCTACACAGCCATCTTACCTAAGGATGGCTGAGCTCCATATGACCATGTGATTTCTTGGCCTTCCTTGACTCCCCTCTCTGCAAACAGGACCATCACCTGCGCAGCTGCCTTGCCTAATTGTATCTCCTCGTAGCGTACGAAGTGCGTCGCCCTCGTGCCTCGTTTCGGCTCATTCGATGCTGCAGGCCAGTCGAATTTTACTCATACAACAAAAAAGACAAAAAGAAATGCATACTTAAGCCCGATGTAGCTAATTTTAATTAAGCCGCGCCGCGACGCTGTCAAAGTCGTCCCCGCTCTCGTCGTCACTTCCATCCAGCTGCGTCCCCCCTGCTGCCGTGTGTCGTGATAGTTCGTCTGGTACTGTCTCTGGTGGCTGCGCCGTTCCTGTCCGGAAGATCTCCCCAGTGTAGATGCTACACACCTCAAATTTCTCTAGCCTCCTCGTCGCCAGTAGGCCGAGTTCCCCTTCCGCTATGCTAGAGGGGCCTACCTTCGCCCCTTCCACCGTGCCGCCCGTCGTTAGCATGGCCGTCGTTACTTTCGCCGCTGCCTCTGCTGCTTGTCGGCGGAGCGCCTCGCGCCTTCCCTCGTCTCCATGCTCCTGGTCTTGTTCTTTTTGCTTAAGCAGGAGCCATGGAGGCTCGAATTCCTCAAGGCGGAGGAAGGCGTGGGAGAGGCGGACGCGAACAACCGCCGCCGGCGGGCGGCGAAGGGGCACGCCAAGGAGGAGCGCGAGGAGCGCGCGGAGCTGGCTCCCTTTGGGGAGGATTACGGCTCGGGAGGGCTAAATCGTGCAGAGATCGACTTGTTCGATGACGACGGCCTCTGAGGGGGCCGTCTGCTGTGTCCTTTGTAGTGCCAGTCCCGTACCCGGTGTCGTGTGAGAGAGTTGCGTTGTAAAATTCTTTTTGTTACCTGTGTTAGTGCCAGTGCGAGCCAGTCCCGTGCCCAGTCCTGTGCCCACTGTTGTGCGAGGGAGTTTTGTTGTAAAATTCTTTTTGTTTTCCTGCGCTTCCTGTGGCTGGTCCGGCGACGTATCTTGCCGTCTGCCTTCGCTTCCTGGCGGGCCGCGTTTCCTTCCCCTCGTCCCGTCTGTTTTCTCCTGCGTGGTCGCCCTCGCGTGCGCCGCTCGCCGTCTGTTCTCCTCTCTGCTCGCCGTCCTCGTCCCCTCGCTGTCGTCGCTTCCCTCCGGCGCTCGCCGCATCGTCGTTCCTATCACCGCGTTTCCTGCGCTGGCCTTCGCCTTCGAGGTGAGATGTGTGACGTGAGTCGTGAGGTATACCGCGGCCCGCGCGGCCGATCCCCGAGCTTTCAACGCGCGTGGGTGTATGTCCTGTTGGTGTGGGTTTCTTAATTTTCACCTGCCTGCCCCGATACTGCCCTGCCTGCCCCCGACACCGCGGCTGCCGTACGCACCTCGCAGCGCGGCGCCGCCCAGACACGGCCGGCCGCGCCCCGCCCCCACCCTGCGCGACCGGGAGCGCGGCAGAGCGCACGAAAGTGTGGTCGTGTGAGACTGAGAGCCTGCGCGCGCGCGGCGGCCGCGGATGGGGCGGCGGCCAACATCCGTCCGCGGCCAACATCGTCCACTGCGAGCCGCGACCAGCCTCCCACGGTCGCGCCTCTCGCGCCGCCGCGCGCTGTGGGCACCAGCTGCTACGCGCGCGCCGCGCCTGTGGCGCCCTGGGATGCTGCTCGCGTTGCTGGAATAGTTGGAGTTGTTGTCGTGGTTAATGTCCAGCCTCCCGTATACTCTGCGCGTCGCGTCCGCCCGGCTACGGTGGCACTCCGCGCGCTGCCGCCTACCGTTGGCGCCAGCTGAGTTGTGCCAGCCGCGCCTGTGGCACCCCTGTCTGCTGTTGGCGATGATGTGGTTGTTGCAGAAGTTGTCGGCGTTGACGTGCAGCTCGTAGGTAGTGCTTCGCGCCGCATCGACTCTCATACACGGTCGCGCGCCGCGATCCCTCGGTCGCTGTCGCTGCGCTCACGGCCGGCGGTGCTGGCCGCCAGCAGCACCACCGCCGCCGCGAGCATGTTCGCGGCAGTAACCGCCATTTTACGCGCGTTTCACCCTCATGTGACACTCCACCGCGCCAGATGTACAGTGAGGTGGGCGGTGACATGCCCCCAGCAATAGGTGCACTATGGAATCAAAAACTCGAGCCTTCTGAGAGACAGAAGCTTGAACTTGACGAGGAGGAGAACCGGCTCGAGTTCGGCATCAACCTCGCGTCCAACGTGTTGAGCACGTCGATCGACGTCGCCACCTCGCTGACGGTCAACGGCAAGTCGCACCTGTTCAACGAGGTGACGCAGCAGCGGGTCCCGTTGCCTGTTTATGACCAGATGGACCTCGTCTACCTCCCCGTCTACCTCGGCCTCGACCTCGGAAGCTACACGCACGTCCTGGTCGACGAGTTGCAGGACGCGTTCCACATCATCTGGCTGTTTATCCAGCAGATGCTGCTCAAGGGTGCGAACCTGCTCATGGTGGGCGACTTCGCGCAAAGCATCTTCTTCTGGGCCGGCGGCAGCCAGGTGTGTTGACCGTCTGACCCGCCGCACCCAACCCGCACTCTGGCCAGTGATCTCTGTCCCTGCTCTCGCGCAGGCCACGCACGACGAGATGGTCGAGTACTGCACCCGCCAGTACAAGCACCTCCTTGCAACGCGGAACAAAAGTCGTTGCCGGGCGCGAGTACTTTGAGCGGACCATCAGCGACCCCAGGGAACACGGTCGCCTGCACATCATGGTGGCGAACACCGTCACCGCTGTCACCGACGTCTCGGACGCGGAGCCGGCACCGGGAAGCCACTGGTTTCTCACAGCCTGGTTCGTCGACCCGGAGGACGAGGAATGAGCGCGCCCGTGTCTGCTGGCAGACCTGCTGCTGTCGTGCGTGATAGTGTCGTGCGTGATAGCGCCAGGGCAAGCCTCGTGCCGCGATTAGACGGTGTGCGCGAGTGCGGTCTGTGTGGTGAGCGGCGTCGGCATCCGCACCGTGAGTGCGCCCACTCAACCGTGCGATCGTATGTTTACTATGTCTACTGCCTCCATATCTCCGAAAACGGACGTGTTCGATGTGGAGAGCTCAAGCCAGTGCCCCTTGGTACGGCACACGGTCGCGTCACGCCACGGATTCCTTCACGCCGGATCTCGGGCATGGATGCAGGGAGCCGCCAGCACGCGCCCGTCTATCCGAAGACTCTCCTCACCGCACGCCACTCTCTGTCTCGTCCAAAATTCGCGGAGCGTTGTACGGCACAAGTGGGAAGGAACGCGCGGCGAGCGATGCCGGCGGGTGGGGTCGATGGACGGTGACGTGTCAATAACGCTTTTACTGAGTACAACTCACACAACAAGCGCCGCGAGAGCGTGACCACACAGATCGACTGGCGGACAAGCCCAAGAGGCGACAATCGACACGCAAACAGCACTCATCGCTGCCCGCACCGGTGCCGTCGCAAGCGCCGCGGCGATCGGCGCCTCTCCGGCGCGGCAGCCGGCGCACAAGCTGACAGCGTGGCGGCTGGCGCACGGACCGCGAGGGCGGGCACCGAAGAAGGCGGCTCCATATGGCGGCCACTTTTTGGTTCACACACAAGTCGACTGTGAACGAGAGCCATATCTGCTCAGGAGGTACAGTTCTGACCACTTTTGACGGTTCTTCACACCTTAGATATGACCCTTAGATATCCCTTAGGTATTTCCTTGGGGTATTTCCTTAGGTATATTCCTCTTGGGTATTTTCTTAGGTATATTCCTCTGGGGATTTCTTTATTTATGTATATGGAGTATTCACTTTGGTATATTCCTGTTGGGTATTTCTCTTTGTATATTTCTCTCGGGAATTCACATCGGTGTATTCCTCTTTGGTAGATCGGTGTATTCCTCTTTGGTATAATCCACTATGGTGTACTCTTCCTCTTGGGTATATTCCTCTGATTCACTTCGGTATATTCCTCTCGGGTATACTCCTCTGGGAATTCACTTCGGTAAATTCCTCTTGGGTATAGTCCTCTGGTTCTTGGATTCACTTTGTTATTTTCCTCTCGGGTATAGTCCTCTGGGAATTCACTTCGGTACATTCCTCTTGGCACACTTGGGTATACTCCCATGATTCACTTTGGTATATTCCTCTCGGGTATAATCCTCTGCGAATTCACTTCTCTGAAGTTCCCCCTTGAGGGGTCGCCGGAGGCGACGCTTCCTCCGGTTCCTAGGGTTCCCCCTTGAGGGGTCGCCGGAGGCGACGCTTCCTCCCTTGCGGCCAGGTGTGAAGGGGTGCAAGCGAGAAGAGAGAAGGGACACACAAAACTCAACCAACCACTCGGGGTAAGGTAAGGTAAGGTAAACTTCTCCACACACACGAGGTGGTGGGGCAAGGGGGGGCAACCCTCGCGTCTCCACGTCTGACGAACTCGAACTCGGGGGCACGGGACCATCTCAAATTTCCAAACCTAGAAAACGACCAGGAATTGCGCGGGGTTCGACCCCCTCCTCGCTCACTTCCCGACGGCGTCTCCTGCAGCCTCCTTACCACCCACCGCCCACTGCCGCGCCGCCTCGTGCGCGCACATGCCGAGCGCCACCGCCACGTTGAGCGAATTCTTGAGGCCTAATCAACCCGAGATCGTCCGAGGTGAGAGGAGATTGGCGCGAGGTTGCCCGTGGAGCGAGCCCTTGGGGCCTCGGCACGGCAGCCGCACAACCGCGTCGCAGCGCGCGAGCAGCTCTGGCGCGAGGCCGTGCCTAATCCCGGGTCATCTCGGGTAATCTCGGCCCATCTCCCGGCCAATCTATGGGAGTCAGGAGCCGCGTCGGGCGAGGGGCCGCCAACCTGCGGGAGAGCTTGAAGAGACGGCTCAGGGGACACTTCGGGGAAGAGGCGGCCAGGTCCGACGCCAGCCCCGCGCCGCTCGTTGCCCAGCAGCAGCGCGCACCCGGCCGGCGGCGGCGGGAAGGCGAACTCGTGCGCGTACGGCGCGCCGGCGACTGTCTCCACCGCGACGACCGGCACGCCCGCCGCGCGAAGCTCGTCGATTGCAGTCTCGGCGCGGCGGCGCCTGTCCAGGTTCACGGCTGTGCGGGAGGCAGCCGATCGATAGTCGAGGCATGGCCGAGATGGCGGCGCCTGACCACGATCCACGGCTTGTGCGTGGGGCGATCTCTTCACGGCCGGCGCGCCAATCTTGGTGACGCGGCGCCACTCCCACGCGACAGCCGCGTGCGTGCCCATCGAGGTGCGAGCCACCTGCGGCAGGAATACTTGACTGATCGCCAGTGACTACTCCGCGTGCGTGCCCATCGAGGTGCGGGCTGCCTGCGGCAGGACTACTTGACTGATCGCCAGTGACTACTCCGCGTGCGTGCCCATCGAGGTGCGGGCTGCCTGCGGCAGGACTACTTGACTGATCGCCAGTGACTACTCCGCGTGCGTGCCCATCGAGGTGCGGGCTGCCTGCGCGTCGTCGGGCGTCGCCGTGTATCCGCACAGCACCAGCCGCGAGACGCCAAGGCACTCGGCGGTCCGGAAGATCGAGCCTGGGACAAAGCAGAGCCCTTCCTTGAATGTCGCGTGGATGCATGTCGACTGAGCAAGGGCTTTACGGGAGCGGACGGCGAGTTCTCAACCCAAGGCGGTTTCTGAGCGTCTGCACTCGCAGCTATTGGCCGCTTCACCGACGTTGAAGGCCGAGCGGAGGTGGTCGCAGACCTACGCCAGGACGGTTCCGAGAAGGTTCGAGGAAGGGCCGTGCAAGGAGGCCGAGCGACGGCGGTCGCAGACGACGACGAGCGGCAGCGGCGGCGGGCGGGCGGCGGAGGCCCTCCCGTCGCCCGTGCTAACGGAGATGGCGCCTGTGGGACGAAACTCCGAACGTCTCGAAAATGTGCCGGGCACGTCCCTGGCGCCGCCCTGTGCTGGCGGAGAATCTGCGCCGTGAAGCTCGTCGTCGCGGAGGCCACGCGAGTGACGGCGCTCGATTGGCAGCACGAGGTTGAGAAAGTGCCTGCCCGCAGGCGCACCGTCAGCCGGCAGCGCTCTGGCGGCTCGGCCGCTGGGAGGCGGGCGGCGGGCACACCGCTCGTCAAAGTCGGTCGAGTGCAGCATTCGCGGCGCGAGTGGCGCCAGCTCTCGGCAGTCTGCGTGCGCGTGCTCCGCCAGCGACGCGAGACAACGCCGGAGCGATGCGAGGCGGCGTCGCCGGAGCTCAGCGTCGCTCCACTCTCGCTCGATCGCCTGGCAGTAGGTGAGCAGCCAGTGTATGCAGGAGTCGCGGTTCTTGCGCACGATAAGGAAAGCGGCGAAGTCCGCGTCCGCTGCTGGCTCGGCGGCCATTTACACCAAGTGTACGTAAAGAAAACTAGAGTCAGGCCCTTGACGGGCCCCGCCCCCAATGGGGCGGGGTTGAATGGGCTAGCGCTGGCGTGGCGTTGACATGAGCACAAAGTTGCTAATGTGCGTAGACGAACAAACACAGAGTAGGGTTGAAATCGTCCACGTAAGGCTTAGGGAGTGCTTGGGGTGGCCTCAGGCATCCCCAAGGGAGTCGCAGCGGTGCCCCATAAGCAGCTTAGCGATTGTCGAACCTCGAAGCGCGTTCGTTTGAAGAAAGGCACACCGTACTATCGGGCCACCGGAGAGTCACCGGTAAACTTCGACACTTTGAGGGGTGAGAGCATGCATTATTGTGGCATATCATGTCACATAAGGTCGAGCTTGACCGCAGAAGCATCAAGAAGCGGATACTCCAGCTCGACTGTGCCGGCAAACTGCCTCCTCACCCGCCGGCCGGCTGCCAGCAGCCGTCGCGGCCCGTGGCGTGCTCCAGAGAGGGAGAGAGGTCGAGTCCGCATGGCTCAGGCCGGCCAGAAGGTGTGTGGCGACGGCACCGTGGCAGGAGTGCGGAGAAGAGCTCGCCGAACGCGAGCAGCGGAAGGCCGAAGTGTGCCAGCGCGAGAGCCTCGCGAACGGGTGCAGAAGGAGCTCGCCGTGACACAATGCCAGGCGGTGGTGGTGCTCTGGCGGCTGTGCACAGTGGGAAAGGTCAGGCTGCAACAGCGTAGCACGATGGTAGTGCCCCGCTGCAGCCTGGCCTGACATGCACAGGGCGAACAGAGACCTTGCTATCGCCTGGCGCTCGTCTGGGCAAACTTTGACCGCCGCCCGGCTCGCCACGAGCACGCAGCGACAAAATGATGACCGTGTCGAAGTTGAGGCTGGTCGAGAGGAAGAGGCTGCCGTGCGAGCCGGCAACTGGCTGGCTCGGCGTGAACGGCCGGCGGCGACTTTTTGCCGAAGAGCGTGCCTGCCGAAGAGCGAGTCTGACTCAAAGTGCACGGAGTGGGTGCCGCCGACCGTCGGGAAGAGTCCGATGGGTGCCAGGAGGATCCAGAGAGCGATGAAGGCGCAAATTGCGCCGCCGAAAGCGGCGGTAGAGGCCAGGACGTGCGCGTGGGCCGGTCGGGCCACGTCCCGGGGCGAGCGATCGAGGGCCGCGGGGCTCGCCCCGCCGGCCGAGCGGTGCGAACGGCCGGTCGCCCGCTTCGGGTTGGACCCGCCGGGCGGTCCGGCGGCGGATGGCACGGCCGGGCGGGCCCCGGGAGGCAGGCGGGGCCGCGACAGGCGGTTGGACAGACCCCTCTGCTACTTTCAATGATAGGGATACAAAGAAAAAAATAGCCCTGCAGGGGGGAGCGTGCCGGACGGGGCGTCGTCGCGCCATTTACATCTGTGTGAAGAAAAAGAATTTGGACCCGACGCGCCACAGTGTGTGTGTCTTTCCCTTGGTTTCCGTGTTTTCTTTCTTTCTTTCTTTGTGTGTCTCTCCCTTCCCTCCCTTGGGTTGTCGGTGGCTTTCTTTCTTTTGTGTGCTCGGCGACGATCACGATCTCGGCCGGCGAGGTCGCCCTCGGCGCAGGGAGAGGAGACTGCGTCCTCCCGCGAGCCAAGCTGCGCGCCCCGGGCGCACCCGCCCGAGGAGGAGACCCCGCCCGTCTCGGAGGCGACCCCGCCCGTTTCGGAGGCGATCGCATCGCCGCCAGAGCCGAGCGGCGCGGCTGCCTCGCCATCGCGCTCGCAGCCAGAGGCCCGCCCACAACGCGAGAGGGCGCCGGGCCAGCCGACCGCAGCGCGGGAGGGTCGCCGCCGAAAGCGCGACGACGAGGACGAGATGCCCGTCGACACCGCGGCCGACACCTCGGGTGGCGGCGCCGTCGCCGCGGAGGACGGCGGAGGCGGCGAGGGCGGCGGGGCGGCGGCGGGCGACCACGGCGTCACCGCAGGCCCTCGGTCTGAGAAGCCCCGCTTCCAGAAGGACGAGCACGTCGTCTACGTGAGTGAACACCCGGACGCGGGCGCCGTCGTGCTGGAGGTCCATGCCGACGATCCGCCCGAGTACTACTACACGATCATGCTTGAGGGCGCCGTCGTCGAGCGCCAAGTGCCTGAAGGCAGGCTGCGGCCCACGGAGAGCGACGGTGGCGAGGCCCGAGGCGCTGCTCCGCGTGACAACGCCGCGGGCATCGGACCGGGGCGTGGCGACGCCTCCTCGAGCCGCGGCGTGGGCGTCGCTACGAGCTCGGGCGGGCTCTGGAACATGGACGCCGTCAAGGACCTCAGGCACACGACGGCCCTGCTCAACGCCGCCGGTGTCCGCTTCGCGACCGCGCCTGCATCAGAGCGCCTGCCAGGCGGGATCGACCCCGACCGCTTCCCGATGCTCGCGCTCGCGACTTCCCAGCGTGCTGACTTCCCGCCTATCGGGTGCGAGGACTGCCACTGGGAGGCGGTCGACCTAGACTCGTCCGGTGACTGTGTGGTCGCGGCGTGCGCTTGGGAGCTGCGCAGGCTGCTGCCCGAGGCCCTGCTGGTCGCGCACGGGCTGCTAACCCTCGGCGCCACTTGGGACGCAAGCTGCGCCTCGCCGCGGCGCGCCACCTGGCCAGGCCCGAGGTGCTGCGCCGAGTCGTCCGCCGACCACACGACACCGTCGACGCACGGACCCTCGACACGGTGGAGCAGCTGCTGCTGTCGGTGCACAGGTCTCGGGCCCTAGCCGCTGACACTGACGCCCGTGATCTCGCGGCTTTCCTCGCTGGCGTTCGAGGCAGCGCATACGGGTGCGACGGGTTCCTGCTTGGCGTGGCCGACCTCTTTGGCACGCCGATTGTCGTCGACTCTATCACTCGGGAGGGCGCGCGCTGCATGCCGCAGTTCATCTGGCCGACAGAGCCGAGCCAGCCGCAATACGTGCTCCATTTGTTCCTGCAGCATGACAGCCACTGCGCTGCCATCGTCAGGATCACCGCCTCAGAGGGCGGGCTAGGCATCCGCCGCCTAAGGCCGACCTCTGGGAGGGGAGGGGCGGCGGGCTCGCAGCCTGGGAGCGCGGGGCCTAGCTCGGCTCCCGCCTCGCGGGGCGGCCGAGCCGATGATATGGACGACGGCGACGGTGGTGGCGGCGACGACGGCGACGGCGACGGCGACAGCAGCGTGGACGACGGCAGCGACGGCGGCGGCGGCGGCGGCGGCGGCAGCGGCGGCGGCGGCGGCGGCGGCGGCGGCGGCGGCGGCGGCGGGGACGGCGGCGGCGGGGACGGCGACGACGGCGGCGACGACGGCGGTGGTGATGGCGGCGGTCACCACCGGCTGCTCCCGCTGCCTTCCGTCTAACTTGGGTTGGCCCACGCGGCTTTGGGCACGCCGACTCAGCCCTCTCGTTCGCTGCCCTGGCGCGGCACTGCAACAAGGAGGCGGGCTCGCACGTGCCGGGCGAGGATCTCTTCGAGTCGCGAGTGCTGGCGTTTTACTAAAGACTTGTGACCATGTGAGTCTATCTTGTACTACCACACTAAAAGCCGTGTAGTGAGCCACTCACTCGGGCGTCTCGGCTGACGATGATCGATCAGCGTTGATCTCTCTAGCCTATCGGTCCCCCGCTCGATCCTCGGATCGCTCGCTCGTCGAAATCGATCGACTGATTACGGACTTTTCTTTTTTCGAAACGCGCGCGCGGCCCGTCGCGCGGCAAAACTGTCAGGTCCGCCGCGACGCGTCGCCGCAATGGCGGGCAGCGACGTGGTGGAAGCCATGCGGCTCGCCCTCAAGCCATTTAATATCCAGCACCTCGCCGACGACTGGAACGCTAACCGTACTTACTTACAGCTGTCGGTACAGAGATGCCAGCACCCCCTAGCAGCAGAGCGCTGCTGCTGGGGGGGGAGGGGGGGGGGTCCCGACCCCCCCAGCAGCAGAGCGCTGCTGCTGGGGGGGGGGGGGAGGGGGGGTCCCCCCTTACTTTAGATGGGCAGGGGGGGTACCCAGCAATGGGCGGCCCCTCTCCAACCCCGGGATGGAGGGGGGGTGCCTGTAACTGTACCCCATTGGGAAAGCACTTTTGACCAGGCAGGGTTAGGCGAGTGGCAGTCGCTGGTGCGGACTTGCTGAGTCGTGTGTGCTCCTTTTTGCTTGCTAAGACTGGAACAATTTTTTCACCGATGGGAGGGGCCCTATAGGGTGTGCCTCTCTCTGTCACCCCGCCTCCACTTCGCCCACAGCCTCACACCGGACCTGCAGCTTCTGAAAGGAGAGCCGCCCAGCGAGCCTCTCACCCCTCTCCCTCCTCTCCCGTTCCAAACCAGCAGTGCTCCACCTGCGCCCTAGCCGCGAGCACGCCGCCAAAACGAGCAGCGCGGCAGTCAGGGCGACGAGGAGAAAGAGCCCCACAGTTGGCGTCGCAGTGGGTGCAACTGCTGGCGAGCACTCGGCGGGCCGCCCTTCCCGCGTGCCATGCAAGGCCCAATGCATCTGGACTTGCCCCCAGCGGCAGGTCTCGAGGTCGCCTCTGCAAAAGGCATCGAGCAGGTCTCGGTTGCGGAGGACGTAGCACCGAAGTTGGTCGGCGGGCAAGCCAGGCGGCCGGGGAGGCGGCGGCGGCGCGCATTCTGTGGTGCGGCGCTCCCGGCCGTGCTTGTCCCAATGGGCCTGGACCTTTGCCCAGTCACAAGCGTCGAGGTCACCATCGCAGAAGGCATCGCGCATGTCTCGATAAAGGAGGACGTAGCACCGCAGGTGGTCCATGGGGAGTCCGGGCGGGGACGGTGGAGAAGGCGGAGAGGGAGCAGGGGTCAGCGGAGGTGGTGGCGAGCTAATCTGACAAGGAAGCTTGCCTCCCTCGTCGTGCAAGGTCAAACTCCCCCCCAAACAGGCCAAAGGTGTCCCCCGCCGAGCAGTAGAAAAGGCCTCCACCATTTTCAAAGATGCGGCAGAGGCCCTCGGCGACAAAGCGCGCAGGAGCGGAGAGGCGGCAATCGTCGTCGACGGGCATCAAGGCCTCGTACATGCCACGGAGCGTCCCTGGGCCGCCCAATCCCGCGGACCTCGCCACGATGTCGCTCAAGGGCGCTCTCCTCCACCGCGGGCCTCGCCACAGAAGCCCGGCTGCAGGATCCACGTTTAGTGGGCTCTCCTCCGCCGCGGGCCGATCGATGCCATATCCGACCGAGCGGGTGATGTAGTGCCGGAACCATCTCCATGGCTGGAGCACGGGGTCGCAAAAAGTCATCAGTACCGCGGCGGACGGGTATGCACGGTGGAGTCGGACGGCAAGCCACGTGCTCCTGCTGCGCTGGCCCGCCGACGAAGCAGTGGCCGGAGCCTTTACCATCCACACCAACTCATCCTGCGGGGTGACGCCCGGGTTTTCTGAGCTCACAAAGTCGAGCGGATCCACATCCTTCGGGTCGAACCATGGCTCAGGCGTGCGAGGCCAGCGGATCATTGGGTGCAGCGAGGTGTACTCTCGAATGGCGTTGGTGCCGCACTTGCCGAAAGCCGGCAGGAAGAGGGCAGGCCCGCACCGCTCGCCGACGCCTGGGACGGAGAAGACATCGCAGCGCTTGGCTGACGCTAGCGCTGAAAGGGCGTGCGCCAAGTAGAGCCGCATCGCGGTTCCGCGGTGCCCGCCGCAAGATTTTTTCTTTTTTCGATTTCGCCATCGTTTCCATTTCGAGTTGCGGAGCTCCCAGCTGCTCGGTGTACGAACTGTCCAACACCGAGCAGCGAGCGAAGAGCGGCTGCGGCTACAGCAGACAGCTCGGGATGTGTGTGTTAGGTACATTGTGTGGCAGCCCAAGCCGGCCAGGCTGAGTGAGTGTCGGTTGTGAGTTTATGTGTCTGTCTCACACGTCATTTGGGGCCTGTTGTTGTTGTGGGCCGTGGCAGACGGTGAACGAGCTAGCGTGCGGGGAGAGCGGCATTGTGCACGGTGCGGAGTGCATTGCCGTTCTTAACGGAGTCGCTTAGGCGGTTCCGTGGCTGAGCCGGTGTGTGTGCCAGTCCGCGCCAGTCCGCGCCCTTGTCGTGCGAGTGGTCATAGAATTCTTTTGGCAACTTTGCCGCCTTTTACGAAGGCCGCGCGATGCCGAGTCTCAAGCAGACCACACTCTCCTTCGACCGCCGGCCATCGAGCGCGACGCCGCCGGCTAAGCGGCCTCGCCCAGACCCGGCGCAAACAACCGGCGCCTCCTCTCGCGCGAGCGCTCCCGCGCAGTGCTCTGCTGCAAAGCCGCCGCCGCTACTACCGCCACCGCCACCGCCCGTCGCGACAGCGGCGCCCGCGGCTGAGCCACAGGCGGCGTCCGGCGCGCTCGCGGCGGGAGAGGCGGCCGAGGTCCGCGAGGTGAGCGGGCGCAGCTTCTCTCTCAAGGTGTGGGGTGACGGCGCTGCGGCGGCCGGATGCTGGTCGCCGGCGGGTGTTCCAGCAGCTACTGGGGTGGGCGCCGGCGACGAGCGAGGCGGGGAGGATTGCGTCAGCCAGCCTGCTATCTTCGACGCCGCGTCCGCGGCGGCGGAGGCGGAGGTGGAAACAGAGGCGGAGCCGGAGCCGGAGCTGGCAGCGGAGGCACTGGTGGCGGCGGTCGGGGCGGCGGAGGGGGAGGGAGTGGCGGAGGCGGAGGTGGCGAGTCCTCCTGCAGCTGCGCGCGAGGCAACGCCCGCGGCGGCGGCGCCGGCGGCGGAGGGCGAGGCGGCGGAGGGCGAGGCGGCGGAGGGCGAGGCGGAGGAGGGCGAGGCGGAGGGGGGCGAGGTGGCGCGGAGTCAGCCCGAGGCGGCGGCAGCTGCGTCGGAGACGGCGGTGCTGGAGGCGGAGGTGTCGGGGCTGAGCGAGTACGAGAAGGAGCGGCTGCGGAATATCGAGGAGAACCAGCGCATCCTCGCCTCGCTCGGCCTGGCCGAGCCTCTCGTGCAGCGGCCAAAGCCGAAGCCTCCCCGCCGCCGCCGCGCGCTGCCACCGCCGCCCCCGCCGCGCAGCACGCGCTCGCTTCGGAGCAGCGGCGCGCGTGGCGGCGCGGCGGGGGCGGCGGGGGCGGCGAGGGTGGCGGCCGGGGGCGAGGGCGTCGGAGGCGGGGGCGGAGGGAAGGGGCAGGAGGAGGCGGAGCAGGAGGCGGAGCAGGAGGCGGAGGAGGAGGTTGCGTATGACGACTCGGCGGTGCTGCAGTATGTTGTCGAGGGTCACCAGGGGGCCTCCTCCTCCTACGCCTCGCCCTCCTCCTCCTCCTCCTCCACCGCCGCCGCCGCCGCCGCCGCCGCCGCCGCCGCCGCCTCCTCCTCCTCCTCCTCGCCGCCGCCGCCGCCTTCCGACACGCCGCTGCTCGGCTGGAGCGAGTCGGCGGTGCAGCAAGTCGCCCTGCCCGAGAGGGTCTACAGCGCGGACTACGCGCAGCGCGGCCAGCTGCTCGCTGCGGCGGGAGGCGGCGGCATGGTGACCGTGCTCGGGATGCCAGGGCAGGCTGGCGGCGAGTGCGCAGAGCTGCTATCCTTCAAAGGCCACAAGGGCTGGGTCGGGAACGTCCAATTCGCAGGCGACCAGCGGCTGCTCAGCGCCGCAAACGACGGGCAGCTGGTGCTGTGGGACCTCTCCAAGGCGCGCGGCGGGCGGCCTCGGCTGATCTCGCAGCTGGAGCCGCAGAGCGGTGGCATCTTTGCGATGCACGAGGCGGGCGGGAGGGTGCTGACAGCCTCCAAAGACGGCACCGTCGCGCTCAGCATGCTGGCGGACGACTGCCTCCGCCCGGGGGCCTCGTGGGACGAGCTGCACAGCGGCGTCATCAAGTCAGTCTGCTGGCGCGACGGCAACGTCTTCGCCTCCGCAGGCCGCGGAGGCAATCTGCGGGTGGTGGACGTGCGGGCGGGCGGCGGCGGCGGCGGCGGCGGCGGCGGCGCCGGAGGCGCGCTAGATATCGAGGGCGCGCACGACCGCGACGCCATCTGCGTGCGGTGGCAGCCGCGAGCGGGCGACCCGTCGGCAGGGCTCCTCCTCTCGGCTGGCTACGACCTGCAGATCAAGCTGTGGGACGCTCGCGCGCCGTCGCGGCCGCTGCACACCTTGCAGGGACACGTGGCACCCCGGGTGGCGAGGCAGAAGGGGATCTTCCAGCCGCAGTTCTGTGCGGGCGGGCGGTACGTCGTCGCCTCGGGCGAGGGCAGCGAGGCCCTCTCCCTCTACAGCGCCGAGAGCGGCGCCACGCTCAGCCGGGGCAGAATCGGGTGTACCGCATCCACGCTCTCCTGGTGCGAGTCGCGCCGGCAGCTCGGCGTCGCGACCGGGAAGACCCTCCGCTTCTTCGAGCCGCGCCTCGCGTAGGGAGGGGGAGGAGGAGGCGGAGGGTGGGGGGGGGGGGGGGGGGGGAATCCTTAGGGTTCTTGCACACACATTCCGGCTGCGTTCTCTCCGCAGTGTGAGTGTCCTCTTGTGGCCTAACTCGGCTACTGCCGCCGCTGCGGCGTAGAAAACTATTACAGCGCATTCGTTCAAAGTAAACAGACAACATCACCCTTTCGACCTACCTTAGTACCTATCAACGCACACACGAGTCACGACTCTGACTCACTGTACTCAGAACTCACGAGAGCAGGCCCTGCTAGCTCTGCCTCTGGCCTCTGCCTATCTGGGCGAAGCCCGACGAACACCACGTACCGTCTAAATCGCTACAGCTGACCATTTGGATTGGCAAACGAGAAGGCCATGAGACCGGAGATCGAGGGGAGGTTACAAAGCGCAACTGCACGCGGCACGAGAGCAAGTGAATCACAGCTGTGTTGGCGGTTGGTGCGTAATCCCACTCGCGGCTGAATGGGCGCTCGTGCCAATCTCTAGCGCCGGCTCAGCGCTAGAGACTCGCAATGGCCGTGGCCCGGGACCTGCCGGCAGAAGAGCTGGGCTGGCGGTGTGTTCTCGCGATGCTCAAAGATGGTCGCTAGCTGGTCCAAGCGGCTCCGCGCAAGCTGCTGCTGCCGACGCAGCAGAAGCCAGTGCTTTTGGGCCAGCAACATGGAGGGGCCAGCGGCCGAGGTGGGCGCGCGGTGTTCGCCGGCCGAGGGTTTGCGGCGGTAAGATTTGGTGTGACGCTGTTCCTCGTCCATGATGAACACGGGCTGCTCCATGGCCCTTCGGGGCCACGCGGTGGGTAGTCTCCAAGTTTCCTCGGCGGTCGGGAATGTTCGGGGGCGTAAGTCGTAAAACGGGATCGAATCCCATTCCAAATCGCGGAGCGCGTTCGGAGGGAGGGGCGCGGCCGGGGCGGCCGTTCGAGGGAGGGGCGCGGCCGGGGCGGCCTAGTAGCTAGTTGTTTTGCCCTCGAAAAAAAGGCCCGCGAACGAACGATCAGGTGTGCGCCCCTGGCTGGGCGGCGGCGGGGGGGGGGGGGGGGGGTCGAACGAAGGTGGAGACAGCGGTGTTCCAGGAAGTGTCTCTCTCTCCTCGGCGCAGAGTCGCTGCTGCGCTAGCTCGCTCACCATCGCCACCCCCCAGGAGCTGAAAGTGCACACATCGCAAGGCGCGACGCGCGAGACACAACATCTGTCATCTCTGCTCTCAGGCCAACAAAGACACACACGAAGCCGAGGGAGCTGCTGTGCCAGTGTGCTGAGAGAGGCCTGCATTTTCCAGCACCGGGTATATGGGCTCTTACGAACATACCCGAAGGTGAACTGCTGACGAAGTTTTCCTATTTTAAAATTCCTTGCACGCGGCACTTCTCCTTTCTTTCACTGTTGCTCTCGGGCCCAAGTGCCAAGACTCCTAACCACTTCCCCTGCTCGCCCAGGACCACGAAGCGCCGCCCGCACGCCCATTGACCCCCCAATCGACCCACCTGCTATCCCTCAATTGCCACCCGCCAGATGTACTGCCCTCGCCCACCCAATACTCTCACCCCCCTGACCCGGACAGTGCAGGTACAGGAAAAGCGGGGAGCGGGGCCCGATCCAAGGAGCACCCCGTCGGCCCGGGAGGGCTGTGAATTTCGGCGCGGGCGGAAGGCTGCCTGCAGACGCTCAGCCCCCGGCTGAGCTGCCGAATCCTCCCGGCTAATCCCCTGACCTGCCGCCTGAAACGGGACAACATTACACCACCTCACACACACTCCCCCCTCAGGGCTAAGCAGTGCGCAAGTCCACCCGAACTCTAGGCGAGGCATCGACCGCTCCTTTGGAATAGTGCCGTCAGTGGCTGCACTAGACGCCCATTAGATGGCGCGCGGCGCGGGCGGATGACTACGTAGGGGAGAGAATGCGGAGAGACTAGCTCGCGGGTAGATGTGCTCAGCCAAGGGCAAGGGATGAGGGGAATGTGTCAGTGTGAGGGGTGCACCAACCGCAGAGCGTCATGTTTTGCCTTTGAAAACTGAACAGTTTTTCCCCCCAGGGCCTCCAGGGCTCGCACCTCAACCTCTCACAGACCAGCGCATAGCGCCATACGACGTATTTTCTTCTCATAACAAGGCTGTGAACTCGGGGGACGCAGGGGTCACACCCGACGACCTCGGGAACTAGCCGGGGCAGTCGGAGAAGGGGCAACTCCGTGCACTGACGGTCGGCCGTCAGAAAACACGCCTCCGTGGCTCGGGTTACACCAATCCTCGCTACCCAACGCGGCCAAAGGATATCCACCTCGAGAACCTCGAGAGGCTGTGAACGCATGTTCTGGGTATAGTTTCCCCATACAGTATCACGATGCACCCTCGCGACCCTCCCGGCGGGGGTTGTGGCGGAGAGCCGGCATGGGAATCGCCGGCCCCCACCATTTTCACGCACTAAATTTAGACCCAGGCGCCCTCCTCTGGCGCCCTCCTCTGGGGAGCCCACCACACATGACGATGCACCCTCGCGACCCTCGCGGCAAGACACAAGGCGTCCACACGGGCATTTCCAAGTCCTCTCCGCTCGAATTCGCCACCGTCGATCCAGCGGAGCTGACAGCGCTGCCAGAGGACGCGGCGAGGTGCAGACGTGGCGGCCGCCCAGTGCCCTCCATCGTGCATCAGATATGGCTTGGCGGCTGGAAGATGATGTACGCAAAGCTTCTGTCGGTGATGAGCGTGCACTACCTGCTTCGACCCGAGCGCCATGTCCTGCTGTACGACACGGTGCCGGTGGACGGCAAGGGCGTGGAGTGGCCTGAGTGGCGATGTGCGTGCCTGCTCGCGCGCTGCGAGCGGACGACCGTGCCTCTCTCCATTGCCGGCCGCGGCTTCGACGACGAGGCGCGCGTGCGGCAGACCTACGCCAAGCTGCGGTACGCGAGCGACGCTCTCGGCCGCTGTGCCAACTCGCAACTTGACCTGCTGCGGCTCGAGACGCTGAGTCAGCACGGTGGCTCCGCATCGGGCGTGGTGATGCCGCGAACAGCAAGGGCACACCTCCTCCTCTCTGAGCAGGTGGGCTCGTGCTCGATTTGGACGTGGTCGCGATCCGCTCCGCTCGACGCTTCCCACCGCTCCTTCATTAATCACAACCAACTATAAAAATCGCAACCAGGTCGTGCTGCGCGCGCTCGACGCTTCCGTCGCTCTTTCATTCATGACAAATTGCAATTATCGATTCGCAATCAGGTCGTGCTGCGCTCGCTCGACGCTTACCGCCGCTGCGCCGCCGACGCCGTCGTGGGGTGGGGTCCGCAGCTCAGCCCGCGCGGAGGGCAGGTTAGCAGCGGCGTCCTCATCGGCCGCCCGGACGCGCACTTCTATGCGAGCTGGCGGAGGCGGCTGCTGCGGGGCTACGATGCGGGGCGGACCGACTTTGGCCGCTCCTGCGCCCTCGGCATGTGGACGGGCATGGCCAAGGAGAGGGGCGTCTTGATTCACCCTCAAGGATGGGGGCATAGGCAACGTGTCCACCGAGCTGGCTCTCTCACGGCCGCGCCCTCGTGCACGTGGTGGCGCCCGAGCTTCGTGAGTCGTTCAGTAAGAGCGCACGGTGAACTTTGACTAGGCCGCGCCTCGTCCACGCGGCGCCCGAGCTCGGCCCGCTACCGCGCTTCGCGTCGCGAGAGCTCTACGACGGGTACTTGGAGCAGGCAGTACTCCGGAGCATTCTACCTGCTGTGATGCGATGCACATCAGGAGCTAGCTGACGGCGGGCTGAATGATTGACTAGGCTCCGCTCGCGCACTTGAGCGCATTCCGGCACGGGTGGCGGCTGCGCGACCTGATGGTACACCGCAGCCTCGAGAAGATCGCCGCTCTCGTCCTCGCCGCTGCGAATCGCAGCCTCAGTGACGCCGTGACGCGTGGCACCGACGCCGGTGGCGGTGCGGCGCCCGAGGCGGCATCACGCACAACTCAGCTACGCGAGTGCGTGCGGACGATGCAGGAAGCGTGTTGGGCCAGGCCCGGAGGCCGCTGCGGAATATATGGTGCGTGAACGCCGAGAACACATAGTCAAAGAGCGTCTTTTTCAAGGCTAGTGCCATATTTCACTCTGACACAGTTTGCCCGTTTTATTTATTTATTTATCACTCTGACACGCTAAAATCTTGAAAACGTCTCCAACGGAGCTCCGTGTTGCTTCCAGCGCCCTCCCCCGCGCTCCCTGCGGCCATGGCCGATGATCCTAGTATGAGAGGTCATCTGGCTACCGCGAGAGCGACCCAACTCGTCGACATCGCGTCCGATGATGGTGCCTCAAAGTCAGCCTCCGGAGGCTGTCGTGGGGTCGAGCCGGCAGTACAGTTGTAGCCGTGACATGTGGTTCCACCACCCCTCGTAGGCTTTGCCTCTGACCGTCACCGTTCCCAGGCTGCCTAATGGGATGGAAAGGAAGGCTCGGCGAGCGTATAGAAGCGTGCTCGACCTCGACGTGGCAGCCTGCACGGCAGCGCTGGCGGGCGCGATGAGCGTCGTGCCACAGGCGTCGTACTGAGCGCGTCGAGACCGTGTCCTGATGTGATCTGCACGGGTGAGTCACGTCGGCGTCAAAGGAGCGACGTGCGACCTGTCAGAGCTTGATCTCCGATCTCAGCAGCGTCGAGTCGTCTCCGGCGGCGACAATTTGGTACCTCCCCAGGACGCGCAGAGGCAGCTGCGACCCCGCCGAGTGGACGGGGGCACTCCGCGCCACCTGCCGAGTACCCCCGTCCACTCGGCGGGGTCACTGCTGCCTCTGGAAGGCACCGAGAGGTACCAAATGGCGCAAATGACCAAAATCAAGATTGTGTAACGCGGGCTGTGCCACAGTGAAATGGAACTAGCCACAAATGGAACTAGCCACAAAGAAATAAAACTTGGCGAGAGAAGAAACTCAAATGTGAGACAGAGGGTCACGCGGGACAGGAGTAAAGTGCCAAGGGGGCACCACAGAGAGCAGTTACTATCTCCGCATTCCGTATCGGTGTCGTGCGTGCGGCCAGTCAGGTACGGCTTGAAGTATAGCCGCATCCATCCGGTATAGCGAGGCGAGCCGTCCCTACGTTCCACCAGAGCTTGAAGAGATTGGCGAGCGCAATGCCGAGCTCCAGCTCCGTCATCGTCAAGCTGGCCTCCTCCTCATTGAACGCAATGCCCAAGCCGCATCGGTGCCACGCCTGCTTCGTGCCCACGGCCATTTTCAGCGCGGCCCACTCTCGTAGCATGTCCTTGGTGCATAGCTCCGGGTGGAGCACGACGTCGGAGGGGAGCACGCCGGCGCACACGCGCTGCCAAAAGGGAAGGGCCGCCGGCGACGCGAGCCACGCGCGGACGGTAGCAGCCCATGCGCGGCACACGAGGGCCAGTTTCGCGAGCTCGTGCGGCTGGATTGTGAGTGCGCTGACCCCGCCGAGCAAGATCTGGCAGGACGGGTCGTTCAGCAGAGGATCGGCGGCGTTGTGCCCGTTGGCGAGGCGGAGTGCCCCCTCTAGAGCCCTGCGCTGCGCGATCCTTTTGTTGGTAAGCATGTACCCGATGCCGATGTCATCGCCCGGCTCGAGCTGCTGCAGGAGGTACTGCACGTCGATGGGGTCGCCCATACTAGCCACGAGCCTGAGGTTGGCCGGCCTCACATTCAGAGCCATCACGTGCGGTGGGTCGGTCTCCACTGCCCAGCGGACGGACGCTAGGTTGTAGTCCTGCACCACGGTCCCGACGCGGCCGTTCAGCGTTGCGCGGGAGACCAGGTTAATGAGCTCGACACGCGAGCCTCTCGTAAAGCCCCCCCCCTCGTTGTGTGCCATCACAAAGAAGCGCACGTGCCAGATCAGTCACAGCGCAGCTGGGGACGCACGCAACAAGGAGTCCAAAGGTTACCCCGAAAATGAAGATTTTACGAGCGCTTTCTCCCACGAGCACTACAACCCTCCCTTTTCTGCGAGCCCGGAGCCGCTGAGCGCGTCGCACCGCCAACGCCGGCGCCGGCGCCGCGGCGCGGCGGCGGAGGCACCGGGCGAGGCTGACCAGGCCGTCAGTCCCGTACCTGCGCGCGCCCTACCCCACCTCTGAGGGAGCTCGAACCCTTTCGGCATTCTGCCTTGGCCCACGCCGCATGGGCCTTTGGTCGGTCAGACCGCATGAGGTGTACGCTCCGCGGAAGCGGCACCCGCCGACCATCCTGCCCGCCGAGCAGAAGGGCAATATCCGCTGCGCAGACTTTGAATGTGTCGACTCGCTGGAGGCGCTGACGGTGCTCATGGACCGCGCCGCCGCAGCCGGGAAGGGCCTGCGCGTGATCGGCTCCGGCTGGAGCTGGAATCCCATCATCGAGGCGGACGGGCGGTCCTCCAACATGGTCTTCACCGGGCCGATGTCCACGCGCATCGCCTTTGACGTGGCCGGCCTCCGCGCGTCGGTCGCCGCCGGCGCGTCGATCTGCGACTTTGTCTTCAAGGCGGAGGAGGAGGGGCTCGAGGTGGAGTGGCCTGCGAAGGGCTTCTGCTTCACGCCCTCGGAGAGCCAGACCTTTGGCGGATTCCTCGCCACCAACGTCCATCACTCGCACACGCCGACCGCCTTCGACTGGGTCGAGGCGGTCGAAGTCGCAGTCTTTGCCGGCGGCGTGGCGGCCGTCGTCACGGCGTCTCGCGAGGTGAGGCCTGACCTGTTCGCATCTGTCTTTGGCAGCGTCGGCATCACCGGCATCCTCGTCGGGCTGCAGCTGCGCCTTCGGAGGGCGCGGAGGTACGACGTCCGGACGGACCACGGGCGGCTGCGCCCGCACTCGCTCTTCGGCAGCAGCAGCGTGGCCGAGGTGCTGCTGCAGGTGCTCGAGCCAGACACCATGTGCCAGATCTCGACGTCGGAGGGCGAGTACTGCGTGCGGGTGGTGCCCGAGGCGGCCGACCCCGCCGCGCCGGCGAGTATGGTGCTGGAGCGGGACGGCGACGGCAAAAACGACGGCGTCTCTTCGCTGCTTGTGCCAGACTACAACTCGCTGCTGCCCTGCCTGCTCTGCCCGCTCTGCTGCTCTTGCGGCGCCGCCACCCGCCGCGCGTGCAGCTGGTTCGGCCTCGCCACGCCCTGCTGCGGGCAGGAGGGGAGCTACCATGGCGACCAGGGCCACTCTCTGGCCCGAGGAGTGGTGCAGTGGCTGTCGGCGAGCCTGCGCAACGACACGGTGCTATTCACAGCGATTCACAGCACAAGCCTGCTATTCACAGCTATTCACAGCTCGAGCCTGCGCAACGACGCGGTGCAGCTGGAGAGGGCAGACCACGCCTGCGATCCACAGCACAAGCTTTTGCCGGGCGGCTGCATGGGAAGGCGAGAGCTGTGGTCCGGTACTAACTAGGTGCAGCAAGGCAGCTCGCTCTCGCTCTACCAGGCGCAGTCGTGGGTGTGGGGGCGGATGTACCCCGTCAAGAGAGGCGCCGTGGCCATGACCGGCGCGCCGACAGCCGCACCCTGACGGCGGCGCTGTGAACAGCGCCTCTGGTACAGCTTAAGGGTGTGAGCAGGCGAGTCGGTGCTGCACTTCGACGGCGGCGACCTCTCTTTCTTTGTGCAGCGCGCCGACTACGCCACCTTCGTCGCACTGGTCGCGCCGCTGGTCGAGCAGGCCGCTCGCTAGTGCGCACTGCACGACGCGTGTACCGCGATGTATTCTGGCGGAAGGCGCCCATGCGTGCACGCGCACAGGGCGTTCTTCACTATAGAATTGGTCATACTCCAGACCATGTCTCTAACTCAACATGCCTCGGGTCGAGCGGAGCATACCCGTGCACTACGCCACGCGCCGGATGTGGTGTATTCGGACGCCCCTCCATCTCTTCGTCGAGCAGTCCTGAGCCGACACTGCCTCGGGTCGAGCAGGCGCCGCCGTTTTGCATCGGCGTGCGGTTTGTTCCGCGCGGCGGCGGGCTGATGGCGCCCAACTGCGACGGCGACGCGATCTGCGTCGAGTTCGGGTACATCAAGAGTGTGCTCTGGTTCTCGCGCGCGCACGAGACATGGCTGCAGGCGAGGCGCAGTTCAGAACGCAATTAAGAACCACTGTGTGTGTGTAGTAGTATATTGTAGTAGCAGCAGCAGCAGCAGCAGTAGCAGCAGCAGCAGTAGCAGCAGCAGCAGCAGCAGCCAGCAGCAGCAGCAGCAGCGGCGGCGGCAGCAGCAGCAGTGATGAGCAGGCGGGAAGTCGAGATACGCCCGAGAGGACGTCGAGGCGACGTCGAGGTTAGGCGATGCTCGACGAGCTGGAGGAGGCTGGCCTGCGCCTCTACCGACACCCCGGCAAGGCGAGATATGGTGGGGAGATATGGGGAGATATGGGGAGATATGGGGAGATATGGGGCCACCCCGGCAAGGCGTTGCGTGTGTGCGGGGGGTGGCTAGGAGGGAGGGGGATGCGGGGACTGCTCACCCACGCGCACTGGGCCTTGCACCTTTGATGCCGTGGGGCTCCTGTCGTCTAGACGTGGAGTCGCGAGGGTCGCTTGGCCGTTGCCCCACCACCGATGTGTGTGTGTGTGTGTGTGTGTGTGTGTGTGTGTGTGTGTGTGTGTGTGTGTGTGGAGAAGCTGATCTGACTTGGCCTTCCTCAGGCGTACCACCCGCACCGCATCTTCCGCGAGGTGCTCTCCGCGGGCCAGCGCGCAGAGCTGCGCCGCCTCCGTGCCGAGTACGACCCGCACCGAGTCTTTGACGGCGGCAAGCTCAAGTTCGAGGAGCTGTACAGCCTCCGGCCGCCGGGAGAGGAGGTCGCGCTGCCGGCGCCGAGTTTCGAGGCGCCGTCGCCGCCGCAGCAGCCGAAGGAGGGCGACACCGTCCCGCTGACCTCTGGAGTCCGCGCAATGGTGTGACGAGGGAGGAGACCTGGAGAGCCTCTCTACCCCCTTTGGCTGGCGCGTGAGGGCGCCTCCGCAATGAACGGCGCAGGGCGGTCGATCATCGCCTCTCGGCGAGATCGAGGCTACTTTTCTCGCGCTGGCAATTCTGCCCCTGCGCATGCGTAGCCGCAGCCGCACACCCATCCAGCAGCGGCTCGCCCGCTCCGGACCCTAGCGCAAGCTGTTCGTCTCCCTCGCTTTACATACAAATCATACGGTACGTACACAGCATTAGTAAACCCATTAGGGGTATCCACATGGTTTCAGCCCCGATCTCATGCGTGTACGGAAGAGAATATGCCGGCTCATGGATGCGTTTATATAATACGTGAGGGCCTATTGCTCATGCGTGTGCGTGCGTGCGTGCTGCGCGCGCCGCGTGTGTCCGTCGCGCACACAACCACCAACCACCTCCGGCCCGGGGAAGGAATAGGAGGGGGGACGGCAGCCTCCCCCGCCGCCGCCGACTCAAAATGATATAGGTCGCGGCTCGGTCTCGCACGGAGAACATGTGCTCCAGGGGTGCTCTCGCTTAAGAGTGCTGGGCCTCTCACGCCGCGCCGGGCAGCGGGGAGGGGAGGGCGAGCCCGAGCCGCTCGGCGGTACGCCGCGCCTCCTCCAGCGAGATCTCCTCCACAACCTTCCAGCCACGCAGCCGCGCCGCCTGCCGCCCGTCCGCCAGCCACTTGACAGCCTCGCCGACGGGGCCGTCGCCCTCTTTCCTTACCTTGAAGAAGCCCGACGCCACGTCGCCGTCGGCCCACCGGTAGACGCCGCGCCCCTCCTGCTTACCCGCCTTCCATTCGCCGTCGTAGACGTTGCCGTTTTTGAGCCGCATGACGCCGTGCCCCTCCGGCAAACCCGCCTTCCACTCGCCCTCGTAGCCTTGGCCGTTGGTGCCGTCGGCGAGCCGCATGACGCCGCGCCCCTCCCGCAAACCCGCCTTAAACTCGCCGTCATAGACGTCGCCGTTGGCGTACCGCAAGACGCCGCGCCCCCACGGATTACCCGCCTTCCACTCGCCGTCGTAAACGTTGCCGTTGACGTAACGCATGACGCCGCGCCCCTCGCGAACCCCCGCCGCGTTCCACTCGCCCTCGTACTCCCCCGCAGCTGACTTGCCTATCTTGGTGAAGAGGCCACCCATGAGAACCCTTTAGCGCGCGTCGAGCAAACCCTGGAGCTTCCCGATGATCGACGAGCAAACCCTGGATCGTCAGCTTCACACAAAAACGACACAAAAAACAAACGTGTGAGTGTTAGAGTTGTTTGGTATTGCTAAAAATCTCTCTCAAAACACGACCTCGCAGAACCCCATGCGGGACCGGGGGGGTGCGATGAAGTGAATGAAATCAATCTCTGGACGCCCCTCCTCAAGACCTCCTCGCCGGGCGTTGGCAACGCCTCGAGTGGCGGCACGCCCGCCTCCGTTGGCCACTCCTACGCCTTTGGCAGCACCGAAGAGAAGGCCCGCCGCCTAAATGGGCTGCAAGGCGCGCGGGCAGCCCGGCCAACCCTTCTCCCACAAGACCGGCCACGCGACGGCTACGTCAAGGCGCATCGCGGTTTCTACCACGACGCGATCTTTGTCAAGCGCAACAACTTCAACCTGCTGCTCCACGAGACGTTCGGCGGCGGCTTCTCGCCCACCGCCGTTCTCAAGCTGCGCCGCCTCGCGCGCAAAGTCGCGCGCGGCAGCGTCGACCGCACGGCCTACTCGCCCAAGTACTCGCTCTCTTTTATGTCCCACCATACAGAGCGCATCTCTCTCTCTGTTGTGCGAGGCGTGAACCGCGCCATTGGCGACCTCACACCGGTGTCGAGCGCCGTAGAGACGGCCCCGAGAGCCGCCGCCAGGTGTGCCACGACCGCCGCCGCGAGGTTCGTGGCGATGGATGCGCCAGACCCGCTTTGCGCCGCCGCCCTCAACGCCCGATACTCGGTCAGAGCCGGCGGAGCGACGGCGGCGGAGACACGGAGTTGCGGCCGCCGGCGACCTCACACGGCGTCGAGCGCCGTAGAGACGGCCTCGAGAGCCGCCACCAGGTGTGCCACGACCGCGGCCGCGAGGCTCGTGGCGATGGATGCGCCAGACCCGCTTTGCGCCGCCGCCCTCAACGCCCGATACTCGATCAGAGCCGGCGGAGCGACGGCGGCAGAGTTGCGGCCGCCGGCGACCTTCCCCTCGACCACGCCGCCGACCCGTCGACAAGCACCCGCGGACTGCCATCGAGAAGAAGGAGAAGGAGCGCGGCGCATCCGGAGCCCGCGGGCGCGGCGTGGGCGTGGGCGGGCGCGGGCGGGCGCGCGGGAACCCCCGCCAGCGGAGGCGACACAATGCCTCTGGCGGCTCTGCAGGCGGCGCGCGGCGCGCCCCTTGCCGGTCTCCCGCACGCTCCTGAGGGCCGAGAGGGCCGAGAGGCGGGGTTGGTGACCCGGGGGCATGGGCGGTGCGGCCCGCGCCGCGCGCTGGCGCGTGGCAGCCCGTGAGTGCCGATATCGGGTCTGTGCTTCGACGTAGCATGGGCCCCCGGAGGCCCATCTACAGCAGCGGCGAAGTGAGCGTGTTTGTGGTGTTGGTGTGACGTCTGAGCTTGGATCTGTGACTAAAGCCGCTTACCACTGATGGATCCCCACCCGAATAACACACAGTGAGCGCCCCAGCACTTCACTACGCCCTCCGCGCGAAATCGCTAGTGGTGCTTTGTGGCAGCACATTGTGCTTTGTGGCAGCACGGGTGCGGTGCCCGAGACCGATATGCACTCTATCTACATCTCGCGCCAGTCAAGCAAGTGCGTTTGGAGTCTTTTTGTTGGTTGTTGATTCTCTGCAAAGGCCAAAGCGGCGCAACCCACAACCTCTCGAAGAACCCCCCCCCCCCCCCCCCCGGTCGGAGCTGGAAGACTGCTTGTGGAAGACGACAAACAAGCAAGGATTATAGGTGAATAACAGATGAAGAGGAACGCGCATTTACAAAAGAGTTAGACACGAGCGAGGTGAAGACACCCTACCTACCAGGCCAGCGACTGTGCTCTTGTGCGCAAAGTGTGGAACAAGCAGAACCGTGAATGACGCGAGGCCAAGGCGCCGGAAAAGGGCAAATCGACGGGCACACAGGTATGGGGCACGTTCCTTACAGCCGACGCGTTGCCCTCGCCGTCGCGGCATTATGCGGCGCCGCGGCGCAGTGCCCGGCGGAGTGTCAGCATGCGGTGCCCTGCGGACTTCCGATGTGCGGCCCGCATTGCTGTGCCTTTTACGGCAAGCGGCGGCAGCCCACCAAGGAGCCAGCCGTTCCGCGCGGCCAACTCCCTGCGGTTGCTCTGCGGCCCAAGCCTTCGCGAAGAGTCCGTTACGCCTACTCGGCTCTACGCCGGGCGCGGGCGAGGCCGTGTCAGCTGGTCCAGAGCCCCTTCCTCTACGGCTTCGACGAGGAGCTCTGTGCCGAGTACGTGTCCCAGCCGCTGGCCACGCCTCCCAGCTGCCCGGCCAACCTGACGCAGGGCGTGCCGCGGCTCTACCATGCGGTTGGCAAGGGCGCCGCTCGTCCACCGAACGTGGACATGAATGCCGCCGTCCACCTCCGCGGCTTTGAGGTGCGGTACCATGACGACAAGTCTGCGGCCGCGTACGTGTCCGAGCACTGCGGAGAGGAGGCCGGTCAGGCGTACCGCTGTTTCGTCGCCCCCGCGTACCGGGCCGACCTCTTCCGCTTCTGTGCGATGTACGCCGAGGGCGGCGTGTATGTTGACACCGACATCGTGCTGCTCGAGCCCATCGGTAGCATCGTCAACACGTGTGACGGTGCGTCCATCGGGTACGACATCCCTGCGGCAGCCAGACAGTCTGAGCGGAAGCAGATGAAGCTTCTCGCGAGCGTCCCGTCGCACCCGTTGGCCCGCTGCATGGTCGAGTCGATTGTCGACAACGTGCGGCACCGGTTCGTCTCCCGTAAGCGGCCTCTGCTGCTTACCGGCCCCGAGCTGCTGCAAGAGTGCTACAACCGGACGCGTGCGGCGAGCGACATTATGGTCACGTACCGCGACTCTGTGCGCGCGGTCTACCCGTACACGGGCCTCGTCGGCGCCCGTGGGCTCATCGCCTTTGAGCAGCCCAACACCATGGACTACCCGCAGACGACGAGCACCCCCATCAGCGGCGACATGCGATGGACCAGCAAGACATTCCGCCAGCCCGTGTCGAGCCAGGTGGCTGCGATGCGGTACGGCTCGCTCACGTCGAAGGGTAGGATCTACACCAGGGGGTGCGCGGTGCCCAAAAGGTAGCACACACAGCTTGCACTTGTCAGCACTGGTTGGTGGTTGCAGTGGGCTCTAGCCACGCAACATGCCCCCCGCCCCCCGCGCCCCGGCGCCCCGCCCCGGAGAATCTCTAGCTCGTTTCAATGTTTGTCTTTCACCTGTCCGCTTAAACGCCTCCATAGCTTTAGTTCGGTGCATGATACACGTAGAAACGTACGGGAAGCATAAAAAAGAGCGAACCCGCGCGTCGCGGCGACCGCGGCGCAGCGCGGGTGTGGAGGTGCAACTCGAACAAGGTACAACTCGAACAAAAAGCACCAGGGCGAGGCCGAGCCCATGCGTCTCGACATGGAGGAGCTGCTCTACGATGCGGGCGTCGACATCGTGATCAACGGCCACGTCCATGCCTACGAGCGGTCGGTGCCCGTGTACAACGCTTGCCTGAAAGAATGCGCGCCCAACTACGTTGTCATCGGCGACGGTGGCAACTACGAGGGCGCCAGCACGCAGTGGATCCAGCCGCCGCCGTGGTCAAAGGTGCGCGAGTCGTCTTTCGGTGTTGGGTTCCTCACCATCATCAACGACACGCACGGTGAGCCCCCACACGCGTAGGTTGCCGCAGTCCCGCCCCTGCCAAGCCATATCCGCTCTTACCTCGCCGGCCGTGCCCCTCGCGCCACAGCCTTTTACAACTGGTCGCGCTCCGCCTGCGAGTCCAAGGATGCCGACGCCCACTTTGTGGATCTGGACGGAGCAGGCTGTTCGGGGGGGCTCAACAAAGGCTCGACGCAGTTTTCGTCCGACTCGACCTACTTTGTTCGCGAGGAGCCGAGCATGCGCAAGCCCGAGCATAACCCGTCGTGCCCGGATAAGAAGCGCAAGCCGTGCGGCGGTGCTGGAGGCCCGGCCTTCCCGCCGTACCCACCGCAGCCGCCGCCATCGCCTCCGACTCCGCCGGCGCTGCCGTCGCCGCCGTCGCCTCCCGATCCTCCAGCACCCCCGCCGCCAGTGTAGTGCGGTGACAACCACCCAACTGGCTGCGCGGAAGGCTCGACCTGCTACTGTGAGTACAAGTACAACTCTCACGGAACCCGCAGCGTGCTCTTCTCGAGTCTGCCGCCGGATTCGCGCGGATGCTTCTGCTTCCAAGACGAAGCGTCGCCTGACGACGACATGGTTGGTGGCGAGCACGCGTCCCCCCAGGCCAAGATCAAGAAAATGCGCAACCGGCTCGAAATGTTGATGGAGCACTGCGCCGTAGTGATCCAAGCCGCCGATGCGCAGGGCGCCCCTATCGCGGAGGTGGACCCTTCTTGCGAGTGACGCACGGCCGGACCCGTCATCCTCCAGGTGCAGGGCTAGCCGTAGGGGCCTCTCATCGCTCTGGTCACCGCCGGCTCCCCCTCCTCCTTCGCTCGCTCTTAGTTCAATGCAATCACCCCGGGAGGCTAGATTGTCCCTTGCGACTGTTCTCTATGTGTAACTTGGTGGCGCATGTGGTTGCGGCCGTGCTAGCTCCTGGCTCTGCACATCACACATCACCCTCTGTGCGCGCGCTTTGGGTTTCTTTCGTGTGGTGCAAGCTGTGTTAGTGCCAGTGCGCGCCAGTCCCGTGCCCAGTGTCGTGCGAGAGAGTTTTGTTGTAAAATTCTTTCGTGGTGTACCTACCTGTGTTCGTCGTCGTGCGAGACTGCGAGTGCGCGCCAGTCCCGCTCTCTCCGAGACTCCGTCTCCCGTGCCCGGTGTTCAATCTGCGATGGTTTTTTGTCCACGTCGTAGCGAGCCCTTCCTCGCACGCGCTAGAAGTTGGTTGGTGGGCGGTAAGCCAACCCCGCCATAATATGCACATGCACAGGTTGCGAGCCGGCTTGGGTGGCCGGGGTGAGGCGGCGTGCACGTGCCGGTGGCGGTGTGAGCGGTGTGAGGCGGCGTGTGGGTAGTAGAGTGAGAGGGGAAGGGTCACTTTTCGCTTTTTGTACTCGCTACTGTTGTATTCTAGAGCCGTACGTGGTACATTGCTATGGTACTCGAAACACAATTTTTTTTACTCTCAGAGCGTCCGACCGGCTGCCTTTACGACCCCTGCTTCTTGGGCAGCAGCTGGTTCGACAGGTCCTCCCCGTGACCTAGGCAGCCGTCCTCGCCCTTGCCCCAGGTAAAGACGGCGCCGTCGGCCGTGATGGAGAGGCTGTAGTTGTATCCAGCAGACACAGCGACGACGCGCTGGCCAGCAAAGGCCTCGATCTTCTTGGGCAGCAGTTGGTTCTGCTCGTCGCCGTGGCCCAGCTTGCCTGCGGCTCCCTCGCCCCAGCTCCAGACGGCGCCATCGGCGGTGATGGCGAGGCTGACAGCGGTTCCAGCCGACACGGCGACGACGCGCTGGCCAACCGAAGCCTCGACCTTCTTGGGCAGCAGCTGGTTCTGCTGGTCGCCGTGGCCCAACCGGCCGTCCAAACCACAGCCCCAGCTCCAGACGGCGCCGTCGGCGGTGATGGCGAGGCTGTGGTATCCTCCAGCCGACACAGCGACGATGCGCTGGCCAGCCAAGGCCTCGACCTTCTTGGGCAGCAGCTGCTGCTGCTCGTCGCCGTGGCCCAGCTTGCCGAAGGCTCCATAGCCCCAGCTCCAGACGGCGCCGTCGGCGGCGATGGCGAGGCTGTGGCTGTATCCAGCCGACACAGCGACGACGCGCTGGCCAGCGAAGGCCTCGACCTTCTTGGGCAGCAACTGCTCTTGCTGGTCGCCGTGGCCCAGCTTGCCCCCACCTCCTTCGCCCCAGCTCCAGACAGCGCCGTCGGCGGTGAGGGCGAGGCTATGGCCCACTCCGGCCGCAACAGCGGCGACGCGCTGCCCCGCCAAGGCCTCGACTTTCTTTGGCAGCAGCTGGTCCTGTCTGTCGCCGTGGCCCGCAAGGACTCCAAAGCCCCAGCTCCAGACGGCGCCGTCGGCGGTCAGGGCGAGGCTGTGGTTGCCTCCCGCCGACACGCTCACGGCGCGCTCGTCGCCCAGCGTGGAGGGGAGGCGAGTCGGCATGTTGAGCCGCGTCACGCCCTCGCCGTGGCCGAGTAGCCCTGGGCTGAACCACGGCGCAGAGCCGCACGACGAGAGCCGCCCCTCGCCGTCGATGAAGACGCTGTGCGTTTCGCCTCCCGCCGCCCTCGCCGGCGGGTTGGACTCGCGCAGCAGCGCGGAATAGCACACCCACCGCACGGCGCAGCTCTCGCCCTCGGGCTGCGCCGGCAGCTCGAAGCCGCGCTCTTGCGCCCACAAGCGGATGCCCTGCTCCGCGAGCGAGGAGTGAAAGAGCAGCGAGACGGCCGCAACGCGAGCGATGTCGAGGGGGCTGTCGAAGCGGGAGAGGACGCGCTCGAGGAGCTCCCTGGGGAGGTCGAGGAGGCGGGCGGGCGGCGGCGTGTCTGGCGAGGGAGCGGCGGTGGTGGAGGAGCGGCGCGAGCGGCGGCGCGGCGGGGTGGACATCGCGAAGAAAAGAAATCGCAACGCCTGCTCAAAACGAGCTGGGGGTGTCGCCCTCCCCCCTCTACTTCGCGGCGGGGTGGAAAGGGGGAGAAAAATAATTTTACAACAAAACTCCCTCCCTGGGCACGGGACTGGCGCGCACTGGCACTACACGCGTCCGATCGACCAAAGCCCCCCCTCTCGCACTGTCATCGGTACGCCCGAACTCGCAGTGAGAAGTAAATTCTTTTGTGCCCGCGGCTTGAAGCCACTTTGCTTCCTTCGAGTAGTCATCAACGGCACGGCCCGCGCTCGTTCAACTTTGTGTGTGCCGGCACAAAATCTCTCTCTCTCCCGTTGCACCTGCTGGCCATGTTCCCCATCTCCAAGACGTCCTTTCGCCACCAGGCCGAGTGCAGCGGGCTGCATCCAGACCGTTCGCTCTGCCCCTACTGTGGCGCGAGAAAGCGTGGGCACGTCTGCCGATGGGCGTGGCCGAGCAGTCGAAACAGCAGCAGAGCCGTAATCAGTGCGGCAGCGCCTGCAGCTGCCCAGGCACACAGCGGCGGCAGCGTCCGCATCAACCTGTCCGAGCTTACGCCTGCTGTGCCCGAGGCTGCCACATCTGGCCATTCTCCGGTCGAGTCGGACTGGCTCAGCGACGGGCCTCGCGTTGGGGAGAGGGTGCTGCGGCGCCTCAAGGGCCACGGCTACGTCCACGCCGTTGTGCGCCTATTTCTGCCGGCGGGCGCGGATGACGAGCCCGCGCTCTGGCGCATCCGGCATGCGGACGGGGACGAAGAGGATCTGGTGCGCACACCCAGCCTCATCGCCGTCAGCACCGCCTCGTCGCTGCACCGCCCCTCGGCACCGACTATGCCTCACCCTCCCCTCGCCTCCGCTCGCACAGGAGGAGTGCGAGCTGCTCGAGGCGATGCAGCGCTTCGCCACCAGCCGTGCGGGCAGGGCCAGGGCGGCGGCGGAGGCGGCGGGTGGACACGCGCGGGTGGCGGGACAGGCGGAGACGTCGAGCTCGGGAGGGCCAGTGCGGGCGGCAGCGGCGGCAGGGGTTGCGGAGGACGCGGAGGGAGAGACGGCAGAGGAGGAGGAGGAGGGACAGACGGCGGAGGAGCCGCTCCCGGCGACGCGCTGACGATGCTCGACAGGCGCACCCCCACCCCCGCCGCCTCCGACGCACAGGGAGGCTGCACTCGCCGCGCCGCTCGTGACGGAGGCGGACGGGCTGCGGCTGCACCTCTCGAGCAGCAGCAGCACCGGCTACAGTGGCGTGCGCGCGGACAAGAGCCGCTACCAGGCGGCGCGCAGGGTGGGTGGAAGGCTGGTCTACTTGGGCTCCTTCGACATGGCGGTGGAGGCGGCGGTGGCGTACGCGCGGGCGGGCGGCGAGTACCAGCCTCCGGCTCCTCCGACGGTGGCGACAGAGGCGGAGGGGCTGCGGCTGCACCTCTCGAGCAACGCCACCGGGTACGAGGGAGTGGTCAAGCATACCTCTGGCCGCTTCCAGGCGAAGCGCTGCGTGGACGGCAAGGAGGTCTACTTGGGCTCCTTCGACACGGCGGTGGAGGCGGCGGCGGCGTACGCGCGGGCGAAGGCGGGCAAGGCGGGAGGGCCAGAGCGGGCCGCGGAGGAGGCAGGGGCGGCGGAGGGCGCGGAGGCGGAGGGGATGGAGGTGGAGGGGATGGAGGTGGAGCAGGCGGAGGAAGCGGATGCGGAGGGCTCAGCAGGCGGGGAGAAGGGAGAGACGGCGGAGGAGGCGGCGGCGGGCTCAGCATGCTCTACCGCCTCGCCACCTCCTCCGCCGCCTCCGACGCACAGGGAGGCTGCACCCGCCGCGCCACTCGTGACGGAGGCGGAGGGGCTGCAGCTGCACCTCTCCGGCAGCAACAGCACCGGGTACAAGGGCGTGTACGAGCATGTCTCTGGCCGCTTCAAGGCGCAGCACAGGGCGGGCGAAACGAATCTCTACATCGGCATCTTCGACACGGCGGTGGAGGCGGCGGTGGCGTACGCGCGGGCGGCCGGCGAGTACCAGCCTCCAGCTCCTCCGACGGTGGCGACAGAGGCGGACGGGCTGCGGCTGCACCTCTCGAGCAGCGGCAGCACCGGCTACAAGGGCGTGCGCAAGCACAGCTCCTATGGCAGATTCGAGGCGCAGCGCAGTGCGGGCGGAAGGCAGGTCTACTTGGGCTCCTTCGACACGGCGGTGGAGGCGGCGGTGGCGTACGCGCGGGCGGTTGGGCAGGCGGAGGCGGCAGGCACGGCGGCGGCAGTGCCGGCGGAGGAGGGCGACGAAGCAGGCGGCGAGGAGGAGGGCGGCGAGGAGGAGGGCGGCGAGAACAAGGGCGGCGAGGAGGAGGGCGGCGAGGAGGAGGGCGGCGAGGAGGGCGGGTGGAGCGGTGGCGGCGAGGAGGAGGGCGGCGAGGAGGAGGGCGGCGAGGAGGAGGGCGGCGAGGAGGAGGGCGGCGAGGAGGGCGGGTGGAGCGGTGGCGGCGAGGAGGAGAGCCACTTCCAGGTGGGAGGCCGCGTCGCTGTAGAGTACTCTGACGGCGCCTTGTACCCGGGCGAGATCGTGGGCTTTGACGGCGCGTCGAGCCTGTACTCGGTGCAGTGCGACGACGGCGAGCTGCTGGAGGACGTCTCGCTGCACGAGATGCTGCGAGAGGTGGGAGAGGGCGAGTGGGAGGAGCAGGAGCGAGCGAGCGGCGAGGGGATGGAGGCGGAGGAGGCGGAGGCGGCGGCGGGCTCAGCAGGGCCTCCGCCGCACAGGGAGGCTGCACCCGCCGTGCCGCTCGTGACGGAGGCGGAGGGGCTGCGTTTGCACCTCTCCAGCAGCAGCAGTACCGGTTACAAGGGCGTGCGCGCGGACAGGAGCCGCTATAAGGCGCAGCACAGCGTGGGCGGAAGGCTGGTCTACTTGGGCTCCTTCGACACGGCGGTGGAGGCGGCGGTGGCGTACGCGCGGGCGGCCGGCGAGTACCAGCCTCCAGCTCCTCCGACGGTGGCGACAGAGGCGGACGGGCTGCGGCTGCACCTCTCGAGCAGCGGCAGCACCGGCTACAAGGGCGTGCGCAAGCACAGCTCCTATGGCAGATTCGAGGCGCAGCGCAGTGCGGGCGGAAGGCAGGTCTACTTGGGCTCCTTCGACACGGCGGTGGAGGCGGCGGTGGCGTACGCGCGGGCGGTTGGGCAGGCGGAGGCGGCAGGCACGGCGGCGGCAGTGCCGGCGGAGGAGGGCGACGAAGCAGGCGGCGAGGAGGAGGGCGGCGAGGAGGAGGGCGGCGAGAACAAGGGCGGCGAGGAGGAGGGCGGCGAGGAGGAGGGCGGCGAGGAGGGCGGGTGGAGCGGTGGCGGCGAGGAGGAGGGCGGCGAGGAGGAGGGCGGCGAGGAGGAGGGCGGCGAGGAGGAGGGCGGCGAGGAGGGCGGGTGGAGCGGTGGCGGCGAGGAGGAGAGCCACTTCCAGGTGGGAGGCCGCGTCGCTGTAGAGTACTCTGACGGCGCCTTGTACCCGGGCGAGGTCGTGGGCTTTGACGGCGCGTCGAGCCTGTACGGAC